TATGGGGACCTTTAGGAAACTTCAGCTCAAACCTTGGAGTGACTTGATGATTCTAATGACTGAAGCCATCAGTGTTGTTCTTTGTTTCTGTTTGTACATCAAATAGCAGAATATATTAAATCTCTGTATTAAAAAAAGCTTCAGTAAACAGGTTCAGTATCGTGAGGGTAGCTGTAACAAAACATAGGATGAAATGAGTGTCAAGGAGACTCTGAAGTTACCCTCGAAAATTACATATACTCTGTGTGTCTGGCTTGACTGTTATCAAAAATACAGTGTTGACTTTACTTTTATTTAAGGAAGTAGCTTTATGCAATTACCCAAGCATAATTTGATTTGTATAGTAAATATAGAAGGAAAGTGATACTGCCTTGAAAAATGCACTTTCCTACAAATCTTTCTATCTAGGAGTAATAGAAGAATCTAGAATAAGGGTTTCTAATTATCAGAGTCTACAATTCCTGTCAATCCTATTTGTTTTATATGCCAGATAATAACAGTAGATATCATGTAAATCACATCAAAAAATTATGTACAGTCCTTACAGCAAGAAAAGAATACTGGAAATCTTGTTTCCAGACTTCAGTTAGGATTTTGGAAAGCTCTAAGCCTAAACACCAAAACATCTAGTGTATTTTGGTTGGAAGGGGTGTTGTGGTATGGTTGTTATTATTTGCTTGGGGTTATTGTCATCTGTTTGGGTTTCCTACCTTCTACTGACTAACTAGTCTCAAAATAATTAGTAACACCATGAATAAAATGATTGTGTTCTCAGAGAGCTTCTCTAATTTGGTCCCCAGTTGGGCCTGGCTTTTGCTCACAGGACTGAATTCGTACATGTTTCTTTAACTCTCTTCTTCTTAATAATCATTTCAAACAACTAATCTGAATACATTAATTTTTTATTTACTTATATTTCTAGGTTAGATACAGTTTAGATTTTTGTCTTATAACTCAAGAGACTTCCATATTAAGGATAGACAGCAAGGTACATTTACTACAAATTTAAACACACACCATTATCCTTTTTGGAATCCTAGAACTAAACACATAAACACACTGACATACAAAGGTGTATATGTACACATGTCAATATGAATTTCCCAATATCATTAGTAATACCAATTACTATAACATTATCCCAGATCCCCTACTGTGTGCTTATTATGTATGTATGCTTTACATTACAGCATCATTGTAGAAACAGTTGGCTATGGGTTAGATACTCATTAGAGGGAGGAAATGAAGTAATAGCAGTTTTAGGCACATATTAGTAAGTGAATGCTGCATGGAAGTCCAGTGTTTTCTCCCAGTTATTATTTAGCAATGTGGCCCCAACACATCTGCCCCATCCAGCCTCATAATGTAATATGAAAACTGTTGTGACTTCTCTCCTACTACACTTCCCAGAATCCTCCTTGTCCCCTAGTCCCGCCTATCTTGCTTCTCTATTGGCCAACAGTGTTTTATTCATCAACCAATAAGAGAAACATATGTACAGAAGACTTCCCCCATCAGAAAACTTGCCCATAGGTCAAGGAATAAAATTATTTAGAAAGACAATAAGTCATTAAACCTTTAACAATTTCTGTCACAGAAAAATGACACAGTTCAGGGGGACTAAAAAGGCACAAAAGGTGAATGTGGAATTGTGAGGTTTAAATCATCGTCACCGTGCTTCCTATGGCTTAAGAGTCATTACAATTAATGCAAAATTATCCTTCCTAAGAACGCAAGCCAAGAATATAAAGAATAGTGTGTGTAAGGAAACAGCATTGGACAAAAGACTGAGCAAGCAGACATTGCAATCATAGATGGCAGAAGAACGACTCAAGCCCACACTTTAATGAGGTGTTAGGGCAGGGCCCTGGGCTGCTAGGAAACCACCTCATTCTTGCATTAGAAATGAGAAAGCCAATGAGCCAAGCAGACCCAGAGGCTGATGACAAATGCCAGAGTCTGCAAACAACATTTGTGTGTTGATATGTGTGTTTTGTAAGGATTTCTCCTCTCACAGAAATGTGTATGTGTGTCTGAATGTGTGTGTACGGGAGAGAGAGAATTTGTATCACATTATATCACATGCTGACAAACAATTCTTACAATAATTTGACCACTCAGTGATAGGAAGTGCCATAACTAACATGCCATTTAAATGTTATGTATTTTTCTAACTTGCATATTTTTAAATTGAAGAGCAATCTTTTAAAATTCTGTCAGTGCATATCTGTGTAACCATGACACTGTCCAGAAATAACGTTTGACACTGTTCCCATTGAGTTCAATTCCCTGCCTTCTCCCAGGTCTGCAGAACCATCAGGCCTGTCTCCTTTAAATCCATTTCTGGGCTTTTTCACTATCTATAGTTATGTAGACTGTGAGCAATGTCAGCCCTAGAATCTTCTATGCATTGACAAGATCAAGGTTCCTATCAATCCTGACTATCATCTTTAGGTATCTGAATTTGGAGAATAGAGATCAGCCTTGGAATTTTTTTTTAAATAAGAGAATACTAATAAAACTTTTGCAGCTCTTCATGGCCACTCATTTGGATAGTCTAGCACATGGGCAGGAAGATGGCTGCTACTTGAAGGCCACCTTGGGCTATACAGAATTCAAGGCAAGATAAAATAAGCAAGCAAAAAAGAAAGAAAGAAAATAGATTAATAGATTTTTGCTTATAAATTTGCTGTGCTTCCTATATGCTGTGGAAGTAGAGCCTAACATAAGCTTTAACCTGGGTGAACTTAGGTGAGAACTGGACAAACATTAGTAATAAGGCTTAGAGCCCGAGGTTCTGCATCTATCTTTCCAGGATTCTGCAGTCTTGACTGCCAATGCAAAGTTCTTCCTGTTGAATCAGAGGCCCATTCAAGTCTACACTGAAATAGATATCACTCCATGTTCCAGTGAGGTCAAAGCCAGCACTAGTAAAGGTCAATCAGGTCTTTATCTTACTTATTTCTTGTTGATGTAACAGTATATCTGATATTAAGTAATTTATAAGAGGCTTGTTTCTCATAACTCTGGAGGCTGGGAAATCCACCATAAAGAAGCAGGCATTCTGTGCCTAGTAAGGGTCCTTTACCAAACCAAAAAGGTAAAAGGGGCAACCACAGAGAAGTCTCTTCTGTAAAGGCTATTGTCTTACTCACAGGGGAGGAACCTCAGACACAGTAATATCCTAAAGGCACCACCTCAAACATCGCATTGGAGATGAATACACCCAGACCGCAGGAGTTTGCCAGTGTGCCTGATTTCTAGACCCGTTTTGGTTTTCTTTCTGGAAATAAAACTGAAAAGGTCACTCCGTCTTCTGAATATTTTAAGAATAAGCAGTTTTTCACAATTTGCAGACTAAGCCAGATGGATGATTTGGAATAGGGAGTCTCCATATTTAGATGGCCAAGCTGGTAGTGAAGGGAGCCCAAAACATAAGTTATTTTTAGTTCTTGGAATTCTAGACTAGATCTGGGAAGATCAGAGAGGAATTCTTGGAACATATATATTGCTAATATATATGTATATTATATATATGCATATATATATATATATATATATTACACACAAATATATACACACACTAAATATTGCTCTAAAGCCAAAGTTGAAGGGTAGGAGGAACCACAGAGAGTAAATAATAGACCATGAGAGAGGGTGTTAGGGAAGAGTGTATGAAGCTTAATGCAAAGCACACCAGCCTGACACTCTGCTATAGTTAGTGCCTCTCTACTGTAGTCGCCACCCTCACTCTGCCCACTCCAACACCTGTGCTATGACACATCCAAGGCAGAAAACTGTTTTACCCTGGATTCCAGGACTGTTAGGAAAGTTGAAAGAGAGAAGAAAAACTGCAATGGGAATTTGATGGGCCATGTCCCTGTAAACTCTTCCGTTATGTGTGATTATGTCCATACCACACATATTTTAATGCTGAATGAACTTTTAAGCAGAGAAATGCAGATTAAAATATGTAAACAATGATAGCAAAGAGAGTACCAGAGGACATAATCTCTATGGAGCAATGATTAAAGAGCCCCACCCTTGTTCCTTTTCGTTGTTTTAAAGAGGAGAGAACTCCACCACATCGTAGCAATTTGGTGAAATCTCCTGTTTGTTTACACACTCTGCATGTCCTCTCCCACATTGAATGTAAGTGACTTTATCCCTGATGTCCACCCCATTCACTGTGTGTCTATTAGTAAGTGGGAAAATACATGATTCCCAATGCCTGTAGGCCATCTCAGGTTAAAGGATAATATATAGTAAGACTGACCCAATAAACACAAGAAAAAATGATATATTCTCATTCTGTATGAGAGTCTATGTGTCTATGTTTACAACAATGAACATTTCTCTCCTTTAGAACTGAGTACATAGAGGAATAAAGGCAATTTCCAGTTACAGCTATCTAGTCAGATATAGCCCAGCACAGGAATCAATGATCTTAATGTGATCCAGTCTGAAAAACCACATTGAATTAGCTAAAAGGGCTCACTCAACCACTCATGCCACAGTGTTGAGATCTGTATTACACAAAATAATCAATATTAACACAATCAGACCTTCCACTGGAACTATTTTAAATGCCCTTCGATATTACTTCTCAGAAATTTCCCTCACTGTGACTCAACATGGCTTCATATGTTGATATGCTAATTTTTACAGGAAAAACATCAGAAGGAAAAGCACCTGCTTAGTTCAGAGATTACAAACTATGACTTCAATGAACCTAAACTTTAAAGGATCCCCTTGCAGTGCAGCACAACCTACAATAAAGCTAAAGCCCCAGATATGCCCAAGGTCACAATTCTAACATCCTTTCTCCTGATCTTAGAAAATCCGATGCTAGCTATCCAAGTGCCTGTTGATGAGAATGAGCAGGTTAATGCTTCCTAAAGGAATTATACATTATTTCACTTTTCCAACTGAGTTTCTTTATGTGTACACTGTCCACCTTGAAAGAAAAGCCTAATGGTTCCTCTTAACTTGAATTTCAGAACACAATAGATGTGGCTCTTCAAATGCGGTCTCCTGTGCCAGGTGCCTCCAGCTGGGTCCAGAATGCGGATGGTGTGTTCAAGAGGTGTGCCTTTTTTCGTTGTTGTTTTTGTTTGTTGTTGCTCCTGCCTTTGAGTTTTTCTCATCCTTAACTATATCTAGCCTGACTTCATCCTGCCAACATTTTACACTTTAAAGATGCATCAGAAACAAGAAAGATAATCCTGAGCATCAGGAAATTTTTATTTGGTTTTCTGTGGAAAAGCAGATTATCTGGTTGAATATAAAATTAAGTGTAACATTTTTATTAGAAAAAGTGTGGTAATTTTGACATGACATCTGTTCTGTGGAAAAAGTTGGCAAATATAATTAATAAATTTTGATAGTTCAGTAGACTTTGATATAAGATTCTTGCTGCAACTTGCAGCACAAAGTTATACACCCAAGTTTTATTGCTTTCTTATCAAAGAAAAGCAGGGTGATTCATTGGTCTGTTTTACTTGTTTCTATATGAAAAACTAAGAGTTCAGTGATTTCTTAACATTGTATAGCAACTTTCACTTTCTTACGGAAAATGTGATGCCTTTATTTTTACTGTTACTGAAGTGCTGTGTGTATTTAAATCCTGTACAGTGGAGAATAATTCAATGTTATTGTTAAAAGTAATGTTTTTCATTCTGTGCAGAAAAACAAATTCCAACAAAATTCTTAGTAAAAAATTATAATGACTTCTTTTTGTGCTGCTCTAAAGTTGTTTTATGATGTTTTTAAAATCAATAATCTTAAATCAGAGTTACTTACACATAATTTTTTCCCTAAGGTGCCATCTGCTAAATTGGGATCTCTCTGTGAGAGTGCCTGGGTAACTTTGTAGTTACTTATGAAACTCCTGGGAATTGTAGCTAGCAGGCTTTCAGACTTCTGTCTGGCATGGACATGAATTTCTAGTTTTACTTCCTCTAATTTAGCTCAACAACTAAACTCCCATCATATTGTCACCTTCTCTTCATGCATGAAGCAGGAAAACAAAGACAGTTGAAAAGGAGCAGGGGGATGGGCACCACTCTCTTCTATGAATCAGGGCACAAGCACAGAAGGGTTTTAGATACAGGAGCCTTATCTGAAAGTTACCTCTTCTAACAGTCTCATGTTCTTTGTGCTCTGGGTTAACATCACAGGGGAAAAATCAGACGTCATTAATTAACAAGGAAGTACTTTGTCACAACCCGTCAAGTCAGACAATGTCACAAAAAGGAAGATTCCAGAGTTTCTTAGTCCAAGTTCTGTCGTCTAAAGACCAGACAGAATTCTTGCCATTCTCTGAACAACCCTTTTTCTCACTCATCTCTACAGCCTTGAGCTTGGAGTTGACTTGTAGGGTTCTCTGTCAGGGATGTTTTGTGGCCTGGTTTTCCTGACCCTAAGCCAGTAATCCACTCATCACTAGAGAAGACCCTTAGAGCCGTGCTCTTTGTGCCAGCCAACTTCAGCTGCTGAGTGCTTCAGTAGATGTTATGGGGAACTTTCTGAAATATGCTTCAAAGCCCAGTTGTCAGCCAAGTGTGAAATCAGGTCTCAGAGAGACCACTCCTCCTCAAAGCTGTGAATGGCACAAAAAGGAAGAAAAGTGGCAGCTCTGAAAATACCCATCTGTCTGGTCACAGAAGCAGGGACATAGGGGTGTGCCAAGGGATGGGAATTCAGAAGGAAGAAAGCCAATGCAGGGGGTGGGGGTGCTGAAGGGACAGAGGAATCCTGTGTCAACTATTGCACTTGCAAACAGAGATAGACCTTGAGGAAAATACTTAAAATTTGCAAGGTTATTTTTGTCTACATGCCACAGTGTAAGGTAGTATATATAGTTTAGGCAGATCAGGCTCTGAAGAGACACCAAGTTGAATTTAAACCCTAGTTCCAACAGTTTCTAACCATAAACTATGTAACCTATGAAAATTATGTAAATAACTATGTAAACTATGTTACTTTATCCCTTTAAATCACTTTCCCTAGCTCTAAAATGGAAATACTGTTTGTATCCACCCCACACTTTAACTAATATATATTATATATAGTATATATAATATAATTGAAGTAACATAGCATAGGGCATTGCTTGAGATATAGGAGTTGTGTCTATAGATACTTCACTTACTTTAAGCAGCTGGAGAGATGGCTCAATAGGGAAAGTGCTTGCTGTACAAGCACAAGGACCTCAGTGAGGACCCCTATTACCCATACCAAAGCCAGGTATAGTTACACACATATGTTGCCCCAATACTGGGAGATGAAGACAGACATATCCCTAGGGCTTGCTGGCAAGATAATCTCTGAGGGTACAATCTTTGCCAATTGTTCATTTTACTAAGAGAAGGAATGGTGCAATGCCTGTAGGCTGGCCCGATATCATCAAGAGGTAAGATCACCCATCATATAGACAGACACAGGTGGTGACCCTGGTTTCTCAACCAGAAAAGAGGGAGGACAAGAGAAGGGTGAGGGAGGTTTTTCCTGATCATGATGATAACAAAGAAAAAAAAAAGCTTAACAAACCTGGCTTGTATAATTTTCGAAGCTGTTCAAAATACCATCCCCTCCAAGGCTCAGGGAATACCCTAGAAGGGGTTGTGGAAAAGATGTAAGAGCTGGAAGGTAAGGCTGAGAAATGCTAGCTACTAGGAATGACGAATGACTTAGACTTACAGTAGCAGTGGTGACCTGCACTGGGCCTGCACAACACTGGTCTTGTCAACAATTGGTTATGGATGGGAGAGAGATTCAGAGAGCCCTTTGCTCCCTACCAAAATATTAGCAACTGAAAGATACTGGGAGAGGTGTCGTCATTGTCTTTAGTTATGAACTGAATGGTGAACCCACCAGACTTTAGTAGATAATTCCAAACTCATGAACACAAAGACAGCCCTGGGTAAACAGTAGGTCAAAAAAAAAACAAAGTAAAACAAATAGATTTGAATGTGGGAAAAAGCTCTGTATGGAGGAGGCATTACTGGTCCAGGGAGATAAAGGGGGAATAACAGTAATCAGAAAGTAGTATATGCATGTATGAAGTTGTCAAAACATTAGTAAAAATCCTATCTCAAAAATCACTGGGTGTAGACAGTATATACTCAATCTGATTGTATGCTTTTTTAAAAACTTTTTTAATATTTAATTTTTTTTTTTTTTTTTTTTTTTTTTTTTTTTTCGAGACAGGGTTTCTCTGTGGCTTTGGAGGCCTCGAAATCCCAGTGCCCAGTTCCCTCTCCCTCCCAACCTCTCACTCCCCTGCCACCTCCCATCCACTCCTCAGAGAGGGTGAGGCCTCCCATGGAGAATCATCAAAATCTGTCACATCGTTTGGGGCAATACCCAGGCCCTCCCCCATGTATCTAGACTAGATCTCCTGCTTGTATTCTTAAATGGCATTTTAATCTGTCATTCCATAATCTGTTTTCCCTCAATAAAACTATTAGAAAAGCAATTGAGAGAGAAAGGACTTTATTAATATCATCAGCTAATACTCATGTTTCTAGTTAACATTGTTAAGAGCCACACTGTTTCAAGCAACTCTCTTCTGTCTTGGCTGACACAGCCATCACAGTGTCATGGTGTGGGCCTGACTTGAAACCACTGTTTCAAGAATAGGATGTGAAGGGCATTTGCTGTTCAAAAGGAGATGATAAGACCCTTCCATTTCCAAGCAGATTGCTTGGTTTTGGAAGCCAAAAGACTCAGACATTAGTAGGAGGAAAATTCATTTTGCTTTTATACCCAGAGTATTATGCTAATACATAGAAGAGGCAACTGGTGAAAAGCCAGTGACTTCAGCCTGGGCCTCTCATTCTCAACTGATTTTAGCTACAGAAAGGTGGAGTCTGATTTCCCAGTATTTTTCTTTAAGAAAAAATAAAACATAAGGGTTAGAAGAAATTAAAATGACAAAACCTGCCAAGAAATTAAAAGGGTGTGGTTTCAAATTGCTTTTCTTTCAAATGGAAAGTAAGCCACAATGGGCAAGAACCTTTTCTTTCCTTTTCAAACCTAATTGGCCAATTGGCAATGCTTTTCTGACTTAGTGCTTACAGTGGGCTAAAACAGCCATTCTGATTCAGACATTGCAAAATAATTGAGAAGATTTTGCTACTTTAGCAAAACTATTTGACATTTAAAGGTCACATGGCATATAGCTTGATGTATAGTTACAGGAAAGTAGCTGCCCTTTCTTTCTCCATTCTGTACACACAGTTCAGGAACTCTAGTAAGCTGAAAAGGAAGATTAGAGCTGTTTATATTTTATTTTCATTGCATGATCTGAAATCTTGGGAACTTTCTATCTGGAAAATGCATGTGGCCCTCCACATGACACTCGAGTTGGGAATGCAACAAGTACCATGTCTTGTGCACTCTGTGTCCCCACAATGGGAGAAACAGAGTGCTATACCTAACGTGAAAAGTTCCCTTTCTCTGAGGAACTCCAAGCAATTTATAAACTACATCTAGCTGATAGTTGCAGGTGTTTTAAACTGAGTTTTAAACTTCTGTTTAAAATATAGGTGAAGGCTATTAAGTGCAAGGCAAATTTAAATGTCTACAATACCACTTAGCAAACATCTAGAAAGTTCAATTACAAAGAAAGGTCCCTTTTCATTGTGTTAGGATCACCAGCAACCGCCATACACTAATTAGGGATAAACACTGTGAAGATCAGACAGTAAACCAATAGCATTTACAGCCAAACACAGACTCTACAGCATATTCTTCTTGCCTTGTTCTATTACCATCTTCTAAAATTGGGGCATTCTGAAATACAAACCATGTAAAAACAGACAAAAGGTCACATTTGTCCTACTGACTTTAATTTTCCAAGCCATGATCTAAATTGAGAAAGAACAAATTTTTAAAGATATTTTATATTGCCCACTATGATTCTACCTAATCATTCTCTGATGCTGAGGATATCATTTTTCATTAATTAATGGCCTCACCTTCAGCCTGGCATTTAAACTTTACAATTCCCTTTCTCCATAACCTATAACATTCTCTTGTTCCTAAAGCTTTACTCCCATAATAATTATATTTCCCTGCTTAGTGACAGAATTCACCCATGACCTGCTGATTTCAGTAGAGAAGACTCTAGCTGCTTTGATCTGTATTCTTACCCTTTGAAAACTATTGTCCTGTAGTAAGTATCTGCTCAACAGACTTTCACTAAATGATTAATTATGTAGAGATAAGATTTTCTGAATCATTAAAGATAAAATGATCAAATGCTGAACCAAAATAGCCCTTCCAAGAAGATTGCTGAGCAAATATTCAGCTCACATGTAACTATCTTAAATACTTTATACCAATATTATCCATAGTAAAATATTCCCATATTTTTCAAAACAATGCCTGAATGGTCATGTGAAAAATAGAAGTATCATTTTTTCAAGTCTCAGCCAGAACAAATTAACTTTTAATCATATTCTATTAAGAGGTATAACTCTTAAACAACTAGCTACTGTTTTATGCTGAACCATTGTTAAAGGTTAGCTTAGATGCAAAATCTGGAGAGTCTGAATTAGAATCTTCTACCACTGTGTCATCACAAGCATCTTCCTAGGTTTACCCAATTATTCAGAGGCTGATTTGTTCATAAGAAGATCCAGAGATTAATGGTCTGAGAAGCTAGAATTCCAATTCCTTCTGTATGAGCTGTCAGCACATTTAGGCATGTAATTTTGAAGGAGTTGTTCTCATCTCCTGAACACAACAGCACACAGTAGACTTGCCAGCTGTGTTCCTTGAAATAAGAGGCATACATGTGGAAACAATAAATCCTCTACTTTGACTAATTCTTTTTTAGATCTGAATTGCCAAAGTCAGATGTTTAGAAAGAATGAAGCTAGTGTAATTTTACAGTGCTCAGTCAACAACAATTAAAGTGCTTGATTAAACTTCCCCTCCTTATTAACTTGTTGTCTTATTTTTAAATGAAATGTAGAAGTAAAACATTTATTCCTGAGAAATTTGCCATACTTTTATTAAAAGCATGCAGCTCATTTATGCAATAACCTAATTTGTTCTACACCGGAAATGTCTCCTTTGTAATATTTGTACTGTATGGGTTTCTTAAGTTGTCACTGAGATGATTTGCTAAAATAGTCAGTGATTTTCCTTTTTTTAAACAGGATTTTGTTTCAGGTGGATCAAGAAGTGAACGTTGTGATACCATTTCCAATCTGATAAGCAAAGGCTGTCCAGTTGACTCAGTAGAACACCTGTCAGTGCACATAATGACATCAAATGAGAATGAAATCAATACCCAAGTGACACCAGGAGAAGTCTCAATCCAACTGAATCCAGGTTTGGTGATTTTCAAAGAAATCTGTGATGCCCATTAATTTTCGATGACAGCTCATAGTGACTTGCTCACAGTAAATATGATGCAGCAGGCAGTACTATGATTGAAATCTTACTGTGCTCAGATCAAGGAATCAAATTTAGTCTCTATCATGTCTGTAGCTAAGCTGGGTGACCTAGACCACACTATAAACCTCACTACAACCTATTATAACTCTGTCACACTCTGATGTAGTAATTGTGCTCTGGATCCAGCAAAGCTCTTGGGGAAGAGAACTTTTTCTTACATTTAGTTATTGAGTTGGTAGAGGGTGAGGAGGCACACACATGCCACAGTGTACATAGAGGTCAGAGAACAACTTGCAGGAATCAAGTCTCTCAGTCATGTCTGTTCCGATGATTGCATGATTGCTGTCAAGCCTGATAGCAAGTGCTCATACCTGCTAAGCCCAGAAAGGGAACATACTTTTTTGTTTTCTTTCTCCATTTCTCAGAGTGCTAGAATAGAGTAAATAATCCATAAGTACTTATAGGATGCATTTATTCACTAGTTAGTGGGAAATACAAATTACTTAAGTACTTAGAGTCTTTGCTATGAACTTTTAAACACAAAACTATCATTCATTATCACCATAATTAGCTTAAATAGCTTTGTGATGGCATTTGAGATTAGGGTGTTGCTTTTCCTCATGCATTTCTCTGGTAGCTCCCCTTCTAGAGCAATGTGCCCCACAGTCTGACATGTGTTGTAGGTCTGGAAAATGTCCATTCCCTCAGGGACATAGAATTCCAATATATGAACAATATACAAGATGTCAAGGTATGCAGATATGTGCCACAGATCGAGAAGACTGGTTTAAAATAGTATTAATTTGTTTTCTACTCTTCATTAGTTCACTGTGGGTAGTCATGTCTTGTCATTAGTTTTTAAAATAATAATAATTGTTATAATAAAAATAGTAATAATAATAAAATTCTTGCCACATTTCTCATCCCACTCTAAATGATGAACTATTTTTTTTCCAGACTAATTAGTTACCAGCAAAACAAAGTCTGTTTTTTTTTTACCTGGACATGTTCCTAGCTTCCAGTTACAATTGGGTTCTTCACCATATAAAATAATGATACAGCTTGATGTGGCAGTATATGAGGGCCAGCAGGAAAGGGATGCATAGCCAGTACAGGACTCCTAATTCAGTTGGTAAAGATTATGGTCTTACCATCTACTATTGAAAAAAAAAAAGGCAATGTTTACCCATTCCAGTGTCTTCACTAAAATCTGCCCTTAACATTCCAATAATTACACATCTTGCCTCCACACAGTCTTCTAAAGTTATAATTATCCCACTACCTTTAATGACTTTTTGAATCTACCTAGTTTTACAGTAGGTTCATGATCTAAGGTTTTCTAGTCTCTCCTAAAATATTTCTAAAAGTCCCAGTCTCCATATCTTGACAGCATTCTCATCTACCTTCTCCACCTTTGCCTCTAGAGTCTTTATGGAGTGGGTTTGTTTGTTTTCTGTGTTTGTTTGTTATCTGTGCTAACATTAAATGGTAACACACATGACACTCCATTACATCTTGGATTTCTGACTCCTGTGTCTGAGTTAATTCCCAGGGCACACCTAAATTTGAAGGCACTTTGTTACCATGGTCTTTACCCCAAGCCTCTCTTCAAATCGCACAGATTCCTGCATCACCACTCTGCACTTAACTTCAACAAGTTCTTTGTGATAGGAGAGCTTTAAAATATCCCTTTCAAATATCTTTAGATTATAAAGCACAACAGCTGACTTAATTAGTAAAGCTGATGCTTTAGTCTGTTTAGCTGCCATCACACAATGCCTTACATTTGGTGACACAAATAATAGAATTGCCTTTTCTCGAAGTTACAGAGAGGCTAAAATCTCAAGGGTCAGGGAAGTTCACGAATGAGGTATAGGCAGATTTGGTTTCTAGTGAGGGTTCTACAGGCTTACAGGTGTCCACTTCCTGATGAGTCCTCCCATGGCAGAGTTGAGGGGGAAAGGAATGGGGCTTGTGTGAAGTGAAACTCTCCAGTGTCTCAGAGGACCATTTATCCTATTAGGAAGCGTCACCCCCCATGATCTCATCTAACTCTAACTATACCCCAAGGCCCCCTCTCTAAATACTATTTAGCTTATAATACTTGATAAGTAAATTGTTATTTTTAAAGTCCATAAACTATATTAAGAACCCAACCACAGATAGCCCAGTTACAAAAAGTAAAATGTTTTTCATGACCCATTATTTTTAAGCACAGTGCCATAAAATTTTAAATTAAGTCAAAAGATATAATCAAAATTCTAGTCATAAACTAATAGTAACAAAATACATTCAAATAGATAGGCTATAACTTGAATTGTTCTAAAAAATTGAAAGATTTGCTTTTATTTTGAAAAAAAGAGAGAATAAAAATGGACTGAGCATCTAAACAAAAGAATAGAAAAACAAGCAATCATAAAATAAAAAGAAGGAAATAATAAATTTAAAATACTAAGATTAATGAAATAGCATTAAACAAAATGTAAATAGATATATGAGTTTGTTCTCTGTTCTCAGTAAGAATAATAAAGTGTTAGTAAATCTAATTAAGAAATGAAGACAAAAAATAGGCTAGATGAATAATAAATATTCGCTAAGTATTTAGGTCTCAATACTTACATGGTAAGAAGTGCTTTGTATCATTCAGACTTTCAAGGAACACATTATACCTGTGTCATATAAACTCTTAGAAAGATTTACAACAAGCCTACAAGCTACTTAGTTGTTGTGAGTCAGTATAACCTCACTGTCAAAGCCTTAATAAAAACTGTAGCAAATCAAATCATGTGCTAAGAACCACTGTGTCCACATAAACAAAAGAATATGATGTTCCCAAACAAGAAGATGTTATTGTGACAATTACAAGTCTCCGTAAACACTGTTAAAGATATTCAGCAAAGGTGAGATAACCCCAATTAAGTTCAAATATAGTTTCTTTAAACAAAGCAGCACATTTCTTTAGAATGTGCTGCTAAAAGCGCATTTGCTAGGTGAATTAGTTTTCTGTTGCTGAGACAAAATATCTCAGAAAATTGAGGATTTGTTTTGGTTTATGGTATCAGAGCTTCCACCATGGTCACTTGGCCCCATTGTTTTAGGGCCTGTGAGACACTTCTTCATGGGAAGAAGATGAGTCCTGTTTATCTCAGGGGCAAAGAGAAAGAGACAGGGGTCCCAATATGCATCCAAAGGCACACTTCCAATGACTAACTTCATCCAACCAGGCTCCAATAACTCTGGAGGCTGGATCAGACATTTAACATATGGGGCCCTTGCAATCATTCAAGTTTCAGATTGTAACACTGTGTTAAGGTAAGAAATTTTGTCTAGATTTTTAATGTGTATTCATTCCCATATACTTTCTAAGAACTGAGGTTCATTTAGATTTACATGAGTCAAGGTTCCTGTTTTATTCATGTTAATGTCTTTGGGTTTTTTATTAAAAATTTTATTTCATTTAGTGTGTGTGTGTGTGTGTGTGTGTGTGTGTGTGTGTGTGTGTGTGTGTGTGTGTGTGTGCAGGCAGCAGGCATGCATGCTACAGCTCATGAGGGGAGGTCAAGGGACAACTGGTGGGAGTCAGTTCTTTCTTTCCATTATGTGAGTCCCAGGGATAGAGCTTGGGTCATCAGTAGGAGTCACCTTAACAGGTTGCGCCATCTCACTGGCCCAGTCTTTAGTGTTTTTCAGTTTAACTAGTCTATGAGCTATCTGCCCTTGCCTTTCACCCAATCAACATTAGGATGCTTGAACATCTTTTGTAGCTTACTGTTACTAACCATCTTTATCTCTAGGTTTTAGGTGTGATTTACTTTTCCATACTAATAAGCCAATGACCCTATTTTTATAATTAAATACTAATTTCCAGCAGGTTATCCTATTTTATATATTATTTATTGCTAATAAATGCAACTATATCCTTCAAATGCCCCACTTTTTAGGAAATATTTGCAATGAAAGGACCTATAAATTGCAACTTTCTGCTTCTGTGTTCAATTCATATACGTCAATAGCTACACTTTTCCCATTTTGTAGCTATATTAATGGTTTAGGTCTTCAGGGTTTCAGAGAAGAAAAGCAGTCCTTATTCTAAGGTTATTTAGAAACCAGTAGAAATAATGGCAATAGCTACTAACATATATGTATTTACTGTGTGCCAAATATGGAACTAAGTATTCTTTGTAAAGCTATCTCACAGTAGCTTTTAGAAATTGAAAGAAGATAAAGATACCATGTCTGGTACCTCATAATTATATGGTAAACATTACAATGATGGTATGATCCAGTTGCTAGGGAAACAAGGCAGGGAGGCTCAGCCTGGTCCAAGGAGGAGTAGCTTACGGAAGAGTGTCCTTAAGCAGTAATTACATGAAGAAAGGGAGGTTAGCTTACCACAGGCAAAAGGAACATAAACAGAGCATGGAAGTGTGTGTTTTCAGAGTACCTCTCGGGACTTACAAGCAGTACTGTCTTGTTAGACTTAAGATGAAGATGGAGTTAAGACGATGAGGTGCTTCAATCACAATGATTAGCTACTTGAGCACCTTACGCAGGCAGTGATATATACAACTTTGAATTTTAAGAAGAAAGACTTCATGGTATTGTGACTATAGTAAAGCAGCACAGCAAAGGACAGCGAAGAGAGAAGGCGAAATGCTGCAAAAGCTAAGAAAGGGAGGGGGCAGTCAGAAAGAGTTGAGTTTGAGGCCAACCTGAGCTACATAGTGAGATCCTGTCTGAAACAACAATAAAAGGAAAAGCTGGTAGAAGAGGAGATAAACAAGAGCTGAGGGGAGAGATTCATGAAGAAAAAAAAAATATCAAGAAGGAAATGTTATGGTCAGCTCAGATTTTAGTCAATTGTAACCATTTTCCACATAGTTGGCTTTGACTATCAACTATGTTTAGAGGTTTGACTGTTTAATGTGGGGGGTGGGATCTAAAATTAGTTAGAAAATGTGATTTAAATAATACACAGGAAAAGGGGATCTTCATCAAGGAGAATCTGACAATATTTTAAGGATACTCATATAAACACACACCCCAGTATACTCTTCACACACTCCTGCACTCCGCAAATAGAAACTGATAAAGACAAGAAAGAGTATTGCCACAGCAGCAAGGACTTGAAGGAAACTGAGTTAAGCCAGAAACTCACTTCTGATTGTCTTAAGATTTCCTCTTTGTGAGATTGGTAAAGAAAGATGCCAGCAACATAATTAATCATTGCCCTTTTCCTCAACACTCAAAGCAAAGTGACATGAGTGACTATGGTCAACTACAGAGCCCACCCCCAGTGACATATGTCCTCCAGCAAGGCCACAACATTTTATCCTTCCCAAACAGTTCCACTGACTAGGCATCAAGTATTCAAACATATGAGCCCATGGGGGCCATTCTAGTCCAAACCACCCTAACCCTGAAAAGGTAATATTATTTAGATAAAATTACCTTGAAAATTGTATTTTACCATTAATTAGAAATGCATGAGGTTATCTTTTTAATTTAATTATTTTTTCATTGTTATTTTATTTAAATTAGAAACAAGTTTGCTTCACATGTCAATCCCAGCTCCCTCTCCCTCCCCTCCTCCCCCACCACCAATAATTTAATTATTTTTATGTTTATGGTTATTTTGCCTGCATATATGTTTGTGTACCACTTGTACACTGTACCCTCAGAGACCAGAAGAGGGCTTTGGATACCCTGAGACTAGAATTGCAGATGGTTGTATCATGTAGGTTCTGGAAATCAAATCTGAGTCCTCTAGAAAAGTAGCTAATGCTCTTAACCACTGAGCCCAAGAGGCTATTCTTGTAAGAGGAAAGGTCAACAGTGATGCGCTCTCACTTCCCTTCCTTACCCATTACTGTCCATCTTTTAGTTTTAAACCACGGTATAGAACCAACAAATTCTTTATGAGCCTGGTGTTGCCACTTCATTCCCGAGTTCAATGGTCCACTAGCACAGTTCTGCTGTTATTTTCATAGTTCCTTTGGTAACAACACTGGGAAGCAAGACAAGCCTGAGTACACAAAGTTAGGCTATGGCCCCTCTTTAATTAAATAGGACATTTTAGAATTTTATTATTTGCATATCCTAAACTTCCCATGTAATCTCATTATAGAATCACTTATAATTGCACAAAGGACATAGTCTGGGCTGAGTGTAATTAATGGACTTAAGAGTGAGTTCAGCAACATATAATTAAAGAATGGTTTGATCAGCTAATGTATACCAGTTGTATAGATTATATGAATGTAGTACATCTATTTCAGCATAGCCCATCTCACATAGTTCCTCTAACATCAAGACATTGATGCTTGTGTTAACAACCAGGTCTTAAGCCATGTATCTGTACACATTTCTCTCTGAGCCAGCTTAAACAAACCCTTTTTAGTGTCCTCTGGTTATTGGCCTGTGTTGACTATACTCTGAAACAAATGAAATAGAGGTTATACAGGGGGCACAGTGTTTACATAGCCATGAGACAATATCTCTATTGCCTTTACCTATGGAATATCACAAAACACATATCTAATTCTTTTCCCTACATATTTAATTGCCTGATCCAAAGGCAGCTTGAGAGCACATTAAGGATAATGTCTCAAGCTCACAGGCAAGCAAGGTATGGTAATGAAATTTGATCCCACCTTAACAAGTAAAGTCCGATTTGGGGTCCGCCTGCCTAGGGCTATCTACCCTTAATTGGCAAAACCTCACTGGATCCTGATATGTAAAAGTAGCAATTACTGTTCTCTTGTGCAATGACTAAAAGGCCCAAGTATGGAAATATTTATTTTTAAATGACAACATGTCCAGTTGATATCTTAACCCATGTAGAGGACTGACCCAGGTACCTGTGCTCAGGCCAGCATCTAGGTAACCCAGGATCCTCAAGGGCTTTCCTATCACCTTTCCTTTGCTGAGCCAGTGAAAGGAGATTTTGCTGGCTAGGCTGTGAACAACTGTTAGCACAGATCCCCTGTGTGGCTGACATTTGTCTGGAGTGCCTTCAGTAGCTTAAGCTCCGAAGGATGCTTTTGCAGATGCTGCACAAACTGCCTTTCACTGAGGTCAGCATCCTGCACCTTTGCTGAGTTCTATGCTGAATAACTGCTACATCTAGCACCATCTGTAAAAACACAGAGAGTCATTCAATGTCAGGCAGAGTCACCATAAGCTGCAATGATTCACCAAGATAAAAATACCACATGGCTAATGCCTAAGGCCTTTAGCAATATGCCCAAGTCAACAGTCAAAAAAAAAAAAATCAGCTACACAATTTATATATTCCTTAAATTCTGACCCCTTCTACATGATCTATGCTCTTTTTCTTGCTTTTTTTCCTTGCCCTGTGTACTATTTTCTGATATTCTCCTACATTTAATTCTCCATTTTACTTACAGAATGCTTCTGTACTGGTACTTTTCAGTACAGAGCCAAAAGGTGAACAGAGTAAATGCTCTCTGGAAGCAGCCCATTTCCTAAAGAGGGGAGAGAATGGGTGAGGATGTGTTATGCTTACCCCACTTTTCATTCCAAACTTCTGGGATGCAGAACTCAGAGCATTACATCCACAGGGCTTCCTACTCTGTCAGGAAATTGGAAATGAATGAACAAATACCCTTCCTTTTCTGTATTTGTGCTTATCTGCCAGTAAAGCATTGCTATTTTGATAGGTTATATAGTTCAGATTGAATAACATTTGAATTATAAAAGAATTTAAAGGAAAATACAGGAATAATTCTTTGATTAGGTAAATCTTTTAATAAGTATATCAATCTACTGATTATGTGGATATACAAATTGTATTTTCCTGTTATAAAATATTTCCCATTTGAAATGTTCCCCATGGGTAAACACTTAATGATCTGAAACCATTTGATTTATTATTTTAAAAGAAAAAAATCACAAATTTTAAGTGGGTGACTTTTCTCAATATTTCTTATGCAGACTTAGAATCTGGAGGATCTAGATGAATAATCCAGATCCTATGTCAAATCATAATGTGGTCAAAAACTAAATAATCTTAACTGCAGGCAGGTGCCCTTGAGAAACTCTTTACCTGTTGTGGAAGTGACTGTCTCTTCCAATCCAATTACTTTGCTCAAGGCCAATACGTGGCCTCTGCGATCCTCATACATTTGCTGAGCCCCCTCCATGTGTTGAACTAATAATTTGCACACCTTCAACACTGCATGTCTGGTCGTCTGCTGTGACCCACTGTCTCACCCACTAACCAACAGGAAGAAGCTCCTCAGATGATTCATAATGTGCGTTCATTATTTCAAAGAGTTTCATATACTGTCAAGGACCAAAGGGTTCACATGACATTGATAAAGGCACCTTACCTCAGAAGGATGATTTAACACCTACATTTACTGAAAGGTCATTTTTTTAAAAAAGACCTTTTCTGATTTGCCTCAGAAGATTCCCTGAGCCCAGCCACCTGAACCTTTTTCAGACAGAATGCTGCTTTTTGTTCTGCTTTGTGCTTTCCTAGCTCTGAGGGTGATGGCCAATCCATGTTATGTAAATGATTTCTCCTGCATTTGTATTGAGCTGGTCTATTTTTTATCATCTCTAGAATTATCAGAAATGCATTGATGTAACTTAGATCTGAAATGTCCCTCAAGGCTCTTGTGTTTGAACGCTTGGTCCCCAGCTTCTGACACTGGTTGGGACAGATATGGCTGGGAGAGTGGGTCACAGTGATAGGCTTTTGTGAGCTGGGCACAGCCCTGTTTCCTTCTGAGGTCTTCTGCTTCTTGATCTACAAAGATGAGAAAAAGTGAGTCATCAAGTTACTGCAGCCCCAACTACCATGCTGTCCCTATCATGATAATGGGCTATGTCCTCTGATCTGTGAGCCCAAACAATCCTTTTCTGCTTAAGTTGCCTCTAACCACTACTGGATCTTAGTGATAAGAAAAGTCAGATGGCTCATGGGCTACAGGGGTTTGCAACACCTGACCATCCCCAGTTCAGTCTTAGAGATCAAACGGCAAGAGGCTCAGTACTGTTACTGATTCCTATAAGTTGTTATATAACCTCAACACATATGTTGTGACAAGTGTGCTTACACACATATATGCACATGCCAAATGCAATTGAAAAATGTCACTTACTTAATGACCTCTAAGATGTGTAAATGAAGACTATGATATTTTTCTTTCTTTGAATTAGGAGCTGAAGCTAATTTTATGTTAAAAATCCGTCCTCTGAAGAAATATCCTGTGGATCTTTATTATCTGGTTGATGTGTCCGCATCAATGCACAATAATATAGAGAAATTGAATTCCGTTGGAAATGACTTAGCTAGAAAAATGGCATTTTTCTCCCGTGACTTCCGTCTTGGTTTTGGCTCGTATGTGGATAAAACTGTCTCACCTTACATTAGCATCCACCCAGAAAGGATCCACAATCAATGCAGGTAGCTAATGTTTCGTGTGGATAGTACTAAAACAATGTTTCTTACAAAAATCTCATGTTGTTTGTTCTTATAGACTTACCATGTATCAAAATATTGTCTTATTAAATAAAAGTTAAAAATATTTGAGGAGGATCATTCTTCCTCTATGGAAATATTTACATGTAGCTTGGAATTTAAGTTATATTCCTTCAACTATTGTTTATTCACTTTTGTCAATACAAAAACTTCTTACCTATTATTAGTAACCCTGCATGAATTTCCAACAATGGGGCTGCCATGAATATAAATACCTCTGGAAATTCTATGAGCCCCCTTTGTGCTCGCTCCAAATTTGTTGAATTTAGGTTTGCCACATTTTAGAGTATTTATCACCTCATTGTGACACCGATACCTTACTGTAATGTGAAGTATATATTTATGTTATTAACGATGTAGCCAACTGCCTCAAAGACCGAGAATCAAAAAATAAGAATTTGATTCTAATTAGCATTTGCCTTCAAGCATGCAAGTTTTCATATAGTGTCACCTGTTGAATTTTCAGAGAAATGTCTTTATAAATCCCTTGTTCTATAAATCATTTTCTTAACAGATATTTTCCACTTCTATAAACTCCTCAAATCATTTCACTCTACACATTCCAACTTGCAGAAATACTATTAAGTGTACAAAGTGGGACTTGCTTATCTTTTACAAGACTTTGTGAAGTCTTCTCTTAATTGCTATTTATCATTCCCTGTGTTTTTCTGAGGTTAGGGGTAACTTTGCTGCTCAGACTGATCCTGAACTCATGAATCTTCCTGCCTCTGCTTTCTGAGTGCTTGGGTCACATTATGTCCAGCTTGAACAATCTCATTGAAGGAGAGCCCACCTGAGGAATGACTCTCTTTCTGAGATACAAGAATGCAATTGAAAGTTATTCTCATACATGTTACTGCTCACTAATAATTCCACAGCAAGCATCATTTTCAAAATTAGTGTTATATCTTTTTAGAAAAAGAAAGTAATATGCTATTTGGGCTGAATTCACAAACTCTCTGGATGTGTTCCAGGACCAACTGTGGTAGGAAATTGCTACAAATTTTTATGTCCCTCTTTAAAATTCAGTGTTCATTAGCATACCAAAGTGTTTCATTCTCCTGTATTCATGAAACACATGGATCTTCTTCATTTTTGAGCATCAGCCTTACAGTTCTATTTTCTCCTCACAGACAAACTTCACCAACCTTAAACTCTCTAATTTTATAGATTTTATGTTGTAAATAATTCCCTACCAATCAAAAAAACTCTTCTTTATTATAGCAACTACATAATTTGACTGTTAATGGCACTTTGAAAAATTTAAGGAAGCATAGAAAACTAGATTTTGCACTTCTTTCTCCCACACAGTGACTACAATTTAGACTGTATGCCTCCACACGGATACATCCATGTTCTGTCTCTGACAGAAAACATCACTGAGTTTGAAAAGGCAGTCCACAGACAAAAGATCTCTGGAAACATAGATACTCCTGAAGGAGGTTTCGATGCCATGCTTCAGGCTGCTGTCTGTGAGGTAAGAAGTTTTGCATGCTGGGTGTTTGGGTTCTCAGACATAGCAGAGGGTGTAAGAGTTTTGTTCTGGTTGGTTCATAGAAAGAGCATAGAATTCACTTTTTAAAAAAAATCTCATTTCTCGTCACTATCAGGACTCATTTTAGTATATCCTGGGATAGGGGGCCAAGCTAGGAAAGGGTTATAGAAAGAAGGTAAGATTTAACAAAGGGGATGCTCTTTGCTTGTACACACCCCAAGAAAAAGTCAAAAAGAGTATGTTGTCCGATTCCCATCATGTTATCTGCCTTTTCTTCCTCCAGTGAAGGAATAAGGGTAAACAAATACATGGGGATGCTATTTTAGAGACAGCACATCATTCAAGCCTGATTTAATGTTTGTCAACTGGAAAATATCGTTTACTGGAGGCTAAGACCACAATGAGATCCATGTCATTGTACAAGGTCTAATTACATGTTTATTTTAAGAGTCATATTGGATGGCGAAAAGAAGCTAAAAGATTGCTGCTGGTGATGACAGACCAGACATCACATCTTGCTCTTGATAGCAAACTGGCAGGCATAGTGGTGCCAAATGACGGAAGCTGCCATCTGAAAAACAATGTCTACGTCAAATCTACAACCATGGTAATGTAGCAACAGCTCCTTCCTAGCTGTGATGACTCCTTGGGCTAAAACGAAAGTTTAAATTGTCCATTCAGCCATTCTTGTCCCAGGAAATTATCAAAAAAGCAAGATGCAGAACCAAGATGGACCAGGAATCAACACCTATGGAGTCGTACAGTATAGTTGCCACTCAAGAAAGTTGATGGCTGAAACATTGACCATGTCTAGTAGCTGACTCTTTGACAAGCTACTATGAATGGTAGAATTTTTTGAAATAAAATGATACAAGATCATATTTTCATGTGATTCGGACCTTGAAAAGAAAGAAAAACGTGGCTTTGTTTTCATAGAAATACGCTAGTTCTATGAGGTTAAAATCTATAAATAGAATAAGAATTGATAAGAAAAAAATGGAATGGGTCTAAGGAATCTTCGGAATACTAAATAAGCTAAATAAAGGTCATGTGGGAAGCATAAAACAAGGCAGGCTTTGTGTATCCGGATCATTCATCCTCCCTCTGCAACTCATCTTTGTTGCTTGTTAGACGAAGCCTGCCTGAATTGCTCCCTGGAGGTTAACATAAGATTTGGATCATGTATTTAAACACAACCTTTTATCACCACATCTACCCCAGCATTAGCTAATTGCAGATATTTCTTTTTTAAAAAATGAACAACAAAGTATCATTTGTGTCTGATGTTGACAGCCATTTACTTGTAAAATGTTTTGAACAAAGCTGGCAAATGTCTCAGTTCACAAGCCCCATTGCCTAGTACCACATAAACTAGGCCTGGTGGTACCCTCCTTGAAATTCCAGCATTCAGGAGGTGGGGACTGGATCAGAAATTCAGTATCATCCTCAGCTATATAGCAAGTTGAAGACCAACCTGGGCACATTAGACTGTTTCAAATAATATAATAAAATGAAATAATAAACTATAATAAATAAATTCAATCCTTAGCATATTTAAAATTCAGGCTTTGGAGTAACTCCATGGGCATATTTCTCTTTGCTAATTCTCTCCTACGCAGCTACATTTCACTTCTAGTTACTCATTTCGTATCTGGCCTTCTTTCTACTTGGCCTCATTTAATCTGGGGTAGAGGGGTAATGTGTTCCTTGGCAATGAAAGAGGAGACAGGAGAAGCTACTCTATTTTGAGACAGAGGGAAGCTTTTTAAAGGAGAAATGGCAATGGTATGATTCCCAAGTCCTGTTATTTTTTGAAGTCTTGCCAAGTTACTGAAATCATCTCTTCATCAGTATACTTGAAAGGATGTTGTGGCATCTTTGGGCAAAAATAAAATGTCTTCATGATATTAGACCTAGGTTATATTTTTAAAAAATCTTGTAGGGATAAGTTATAATTTTTGTAGAATTTTAAACCCCAATTGAATTATTGTGATATGAGGAAAACAAGCAATGCATCATGTACTTCTTTTGTGTTCCTGGTCATTATTCCATCTATTTAGAGGAATGACTTTTGCACATGTCATTCCTGTGATTTATTGGATAAATCAAAGAGAAGTTCACTTTGATAATAACTTAAAGAACACCTTTATTCCTGTTACACCAGATCTGTATTTTAAAGGATCCTCCTGCTGAGAATTCTTGTTGCTAGCAACATTGGCTAAAAACATTAGCTAGTACACTGTAGTAACTCTTTGGCTATATGGCCATAAATAAAATATGCAATGAATGACTCTGAAGCCTGGTGTGTCTCAAGCTACCTTGACCTCATCTCTAGGCATATATCTACCTGCTTTTTAAACATCACCCCATTCTTTCCATGAGTACCATGATGGAATACTAAATTTGTTTTGGTTAAGCAAGAAATCAAACACTCTGCTTCCTAGCCTCATCTCCAGAAATCAATACCAGTAATAATAGAAGACTTCTTTGCCCAAGACTTTGGTCTTTGTATTTATAAAGGGAGATGAATGATTAAATGTCTCTTGTGTGTCTAAATCACAGGGATCAGAGTTACATTTTTGAGTTACAATTTCAGGAAAATAGGTGTAATCCCATTCTAATCACAATGAGAATCTGTTGGCTGAAAGTATCTTTGCAAACATACACCATGGAATTTGTCATTACAACTCTATACAGTAGTTACTATTATCATCCTTTTACTATCAAAAATACTAAAGCTTAGAAAAGCTAAGTTAAATATGTATAAAGACTGTAAGCTACTAAACTAATGAACTGTAGATCTGGGACCCACTGCATTTCAATCTGTATTCCTAACCACCTTGTCAAAGTGACTCAACCAAAAAGTAAAGAAATGGGGAAATATTTTTCCTGGTGTGTTTTCAGGTCTAAAATTTTATACTGTAGCCTTTACCTACAGAAGAATAAAACAAGAGACCTTGATTTAAACTGAATTATAAAAGATTAAGATAACTTCTCTCTAGGCTGTTGGCATTGATGGTACACTATTAAATAAATCTATTTTCTAGTGTTCTTTCCATTACACTAAATGCCGTAATAAAATATGAGTAGCCACCTAGTACTTAAGTCTGCCAAGCAATAATGTCTACTTAAAGCATGGCATTCTATCCAAAAAGACAGAGGTTCATATAAAATTGTTGGTAATGGAAAAGATATGATACTTAAGACCTAGAAGTCCATTCTGTTTCCCCATCCAGCTTTGCCAAATTAGTCAACCTCATTCAGAGCCCTCCCATTTATCCCACCCTTAGCAAAGACCAAGAACTATACAAAGATCTTCAACCACAATGACAGGAGACAAAGGAGACACGTGTGTGGAGGCATTGAGTGAACCTTGCCAATGGGCAGCTCAGACTCTCAGTCCTTAATACACAAATGCAAATAGACTTGCTAGTGTCTCCTGTTCAGACTTGGTGTTCCATGCTCTTCACGGCTTTCATGTGCCCCATCATTAGTCAGTGATTCTTCACTTTTCTTTCACATGCCTCTGCAGAACTTCTTACCACTGGTTCCATCTGTCATTCCTTTCTCTGAACCCCCAGTGAGATAAAGCAGCTGCTGACTGAGCCAGAATCTTAGATGACTGATGTACAATTGCTAAAGGTGATTCACTATTACTGCAGACTTATGCTTCCTTTCATGGAAAGATATTCAACACTCTTGTTTTTCCTCTCACAAAGTTTTGCTTAATATGTACTTCACTTCTAATATGCTATCTGTGAAGCAAAGACTTGTAATATTTTAGTAAAGATTTGTTAATTATTTTTGCAGCTCTTGATTAAGAAATGGGCTCTTCAATGTTAGAAAGTGCTAAGTATCTTTTCACTTTTCATTGTGTGTCCTGGATGCGTTAATAAAAATACTTATGCTTTAGCACTCTTAAATACTTCTAGAATGTTGGAAGCCTGTAAGCAGTTTTAACAAATATGGTTGCATCTTGTGAGTTTTTTTTTTAACTAACAAAGCACTTGATAGCAGCTGACTGTACTATTTGCTTTAAATTGCAAATATGCTGAGAATATTTTTAAGTTATTTTATGAAACCCAATTTGAATTCTCTATGTGTTCTCAGAAAAGTAGCCAGGAAATGATCTCTACAAGCAATACCTAACTGAAATTACTCATAATTGAAGGCAAATGCTACATGCAGAAATCACCTACTCCAGGATCACAGGAGTCTGGCTCTGATTCTGTAGAACCTCTAAAAAGGAATTCAACTAATGTCTAAAAACTAAGCTCATGAATATTTAAATTCCATTTACAAGATGGGACAAACTATCTTGTAAATTAAACGTTAAATTAAACGTTTGTGTTAAAAACATTTAAGCAGAAAACATCCATTCTCATTCTTTTTGAAAAGCTTCCAAAGACAGTTAGTCCTTGCCCTTCTTCACCAAGTAGAGTTTCATGATTACAGGTGACAACATTTGGGTCAGAGGAGACAAACTCAAACACCCCAGGAGCAAGGGGAACAGGGTTAATGAGTGGAGGAGATCCACCAAAGCACATGTGAGACCATGCCTACAGTGTTTATGTGCAGCAGTCTTTTATTTAAAATGGCCTTTTACTAAGTAGTCCTTTTGTGCATGGCCTTTTACCCTAGCACAACCTCATATTCCACAAGTAGGCATGATGCTTTCTTCTCTTGGGTAAATAAGGTAATAATCAGTAGCTGAACATAATCTCACTCTACTCCATGGCAGACTCTGTGGTTGGTGTCAGTTAGTGGGACACCAAGACCTGGACCACTTCTCATCATTGGTATGAGTTTAGTAATTACAGAATCCTGGAGCAAAGACTTTTTATTCAGTAGTTCATTTATGTGAGAGTGTACCACTCCAATTCTCAGAAATATAAACTAGTATTTCTATATGACTTAATCATTTGGAAACAGGACCCCAGATAGCTTAAAACTGCGTCCTGGACACATAGTGTGCTGATCAATATCCCCTCTCTATGACACCTACCTAAGATGATCAGCTTGTAAAGATGTAAGGTTTATTTTGAGTTAAAGTTAGGGAGGTTGTGATCCATGAACTTTTGTTCCCATCACATTGGGACTGTGGTGGCAAAACTGCTTAACTTGTGCCCAGGAAGCAAAAGAAGGTAAGAGGCCAGGGGCCCAGAGTCTCCTCCTAGGGCATTCCCCAGTGGCCTGAATACTTCTTCTAATAAACCTCATCAGTCAAAGGTTCCACTGTCACCCCCTATATTCACAGTGTGTGGACCAGGCTTCCACCCTGTGGGCTATTGAGAGACATTTAAGATTCAAACTAAGGGCAAAGTTTGAAGTTGCAGAGCTGGGAGATGTAGCTCCAGCACCATTGCTCTGTCCAGAGCACCTGTTCTTGATTCTCTATGGGATATTTCACTTTTAAGAGGACATTTCCATGCCAAAGACATTTTAGTGATCATGGCCAGGGAAAGGGGTGTTACCATTTAGTGGGTGGTGAACTACTATGTTTCACATCCTATATTGCATAGGACACGCTATATTGCATAAGTTACCTGTACAGACACTCTCGAAACAATCTGAAGTTCAGCCCAAATGTTGGCAGCCCCACTGCTGTCCAACCTGCCCTATGTCATTATTAGGATCTACCATGTTCTTAAAAGCCAGGTTGTTGAGACAGAAGTAGACAGACAATGTGTCTTTCAAATTTTGATCTCCAAATAAATTTTCACTATCACACTGTTCCCACTTTGTCCGTTTCATCCCTTGAAAACATAAACTCACTGAAAACTCAAGTTTTCAATATCTTGTCACAGCTCTCAGTCCTACAAACTCTAACTTACCATAACCTCTTCAATTAGTTTCACTTAAAATAAGAGACTCTTTAGCACTTTCTTTGTCACCCTGGCCATGAATATTATTATAATTCAACTGTGCTTCCCAAACAGTAATCCCTTTGACTGAAAGTGTTCTTCCCTCCTCACATTTATAAGTCACTCCCCACAAGCTTAATCACTTAGCAGTGCTCCTGGCATGTCCCTCCCCTTCTCCCTTTTGCCTCTGAAATGTACCTTATCTCCATTAATTATTTTCAGAGTTTAGAGAAGCAATATAATGGGTTAGGTGGAGGGAGGAAGGCATATGTGAAAGATTTGAGGAGCCATGACATCACCAGGACAGGGCAGCTGGCTGGGAGGGAGTGCATTCTCCTGCTAGCAGAAAAAAGGACATATAAGATAAAATGCTTAAGAGATAATGTGCTTCATGGAGGAGAGGTGAGGAGGCTTCAGGAATGGCCATTAATCCATAGCCACTTGTCAACAGTGGTTTATTTAAACATGTGTTAGACATTTATAATCTAAAAAAATCTGCCTTGAGGTGCTTGGGATTTTTCTTTTAAAACAGATTTCTGTCTAGAGGCAAAAAAAATGTTCTTTTAAACTCAGGAGTCTGATGAACCTTTTCCATGCACTTCTGACAAGCTAGAATGAACGTTCTAGACTTGAATTTTGTCTAACATGACTTCCTGTTTGTGGACAAGGAATTTAAAAGACTCCTAAAGCTGCTCATTGTCAACTGTTCTTTAAATATTGACTTTGTTTGGATTAAGTATAAACTGGTTAAAAACATATGGGATATTTTCTTCTTATTTTAAAGGAAATGTTTTTGAAAGTAAGAAGAGTGAGTGCTTCTTGGCAAGCTGTTACTAATTTTTGTCAAAAAAATATTTTAAAAGTAACTGTTGCTATTAAAATAATATCCCCAATGTATCTAGATTTGCCTTACTTTTTTCTTACTCCTTGTAGCTTAACTGGTATTACGCAAACTGCCACAAATCTATTTTAAGGTCATGTACTTTATTAGGAACAGGAATAGAAATTTAACTGGAAGAATTTATACTTAGGGAAGATTTTTTTCTATTACTTTAAAATTACATTCCTAAGAATTTCTCTGGGCAGAATTCTTCCTATGCAAACCCATGTGTTAACACTTTTCAGGCCTTTTCATGAATTGCTTTCATATCACATCTAAATGCAACTAATAAAAACAAATACAGGCAGACTTTTGCTATGAATCCTCCTGCAGGTTGAGCCCAGGGCCTCATGTATGCTAAGCATATGTTTTAACAGCTGCCCTAGTAGAATTTTAACAAGCAAGGCTGTATCTGTCCATATGTATAAATTTAAAGTGCAGGCCACAGAACATTGTCTATAAGTAAGACTAGTTAATATAGATTTATTACTAAATTCATATAGCTTTCATACTACAGATATGTTAACTAAGTTAGATTAGCATTAGTGGCTTTAACCTCATGTAACCTGGTATGGTGGTTTGAAGAAAATGGCCCACAAAAGGAATGGCACTATTAGGAGGTGTGGCCTTGTTGGAGTAGGTATGGTCTTGTTGGAAGAAGTAGGTCACTGTGGAGGTGTGCTTTGAGGTCTCATATATGCAGAAGCTATAACCAATAAGACGGTCCATTTCCTGTTGCCTACAAGTCAAGATGTAGGACACTCAGTTCTCCAGCACCATGTCTGCCTGCATGCCATCCTGTCATACCATGGTAACAGACTAAACCTCTGAAAATGTAAGCCACCCCAAATGAATGGTTGTCCTTTATAAGAGTTGCTGTGGTCATGGTGTCTTTTCACAGGAATAGAAACCCTAACTAAGACACCTGGTAAACTGCAGAACAACTTGATCTTGACCTCCATGAAGCTAGATAGGCTCATTCATATCACCCCTTTGCTCCTAAACTTAGGTACCAATGAATAGCCAGAGGCCACAGCAAGTGGAATCTGACATCATCCCTCTGGGGATGTGTAAGTATGAACCTGTTGTTGAGACAATCGATTAATTCCTAGATGAGCCTTTATGGAAAGAAATAGTACTAGGGCTGCACCTTACTACATAACAGTAAATAGCAACTTCTGCAGTTATCAATCAGGAGGTGGAAGGACTTGCTGAGAATTGAAGCCAAGATCTTTTGTGCTCTAGGCAAGAATCCTAGCACTGAGCTGCATTCTTGTCTTGAACTAAACTATATTTCCTTTCCTAACTCATACCTGGCTTTCTAATAACTACCACACACAAAAAAGCTACATTTACCCCAAGGAAAAAACACTCACAGTATATACTACAACCAAAAAAAGTGTAATAATAAGTTAAGAGGTCATTAATCTTCACTCTGCATAAGAAGTTCAAATAGAAATCCTGGAGTCCTATTAGTTTTGAATACCTACGGAATATATCTTTCTAATTTAATGCACTGTTGTCATCTTTCTAATTAACCAGGGATTGAAGAAGGTGGCTGTCACGCACATGTTAGAGGATAGAGCTGAGAGCTTCTGTTATCCAAGTGAAAGCCACAGGGGCTTCTACAGCTAAAGAGTTTAAATATGCTACGTCACAAGTCAAATCAAATGTTTACATGCACATATACATAGACATACAAATGTGTGCATAGACGTATATGCGTACACACAATTGATATATATTGTTTCACACTTCAACATCTGCTGAGTTTCACCTCAGAATGCACTGTCACTGGCATGTCTCTGCTTCTGAGTATTATGCTATCTTTCAGGTATGTCTTTTTCAGTCCAACATTAACCTAACAAGGTTCTGATCCTCACTTTATTTGTGAATTTGACCCTCTTTTCTAAGTTGTAGACTTTGATGGAGCTCGGCTTGCAAGACATCCTGACTTCATTGATATTGGTGTGGCATTTTCAAAGAGTTTAAATGCTCCTTGACTGTCATAAACAAGTTTCTTCATACTACAAGTCTGGCGACCTGTGAGGCTGAGCTGCTGAACTTCACTTTCTTCTTTGTTTCATTGTCCATTGCAGGAACATCCATCACTAGGCCAACTTTCTGAAAAGTTAATAGACAACAACATAAATGTCATTTTTGCAGTTCAAGGAAAGCAGTTTCATTGGTACAAGGTAGGTTCATGCCTACATCAATATTAAAATGCTTGGATTGGTGGTTAAAGTGAGGCACTTTCCTGAAGCAGGGATGGACTTTCTGGAATTCTGATAGACTATGTCAATTTAAAAGTGCCTCAAGGTGAACTTTATAGTATCTTATGTTAGCATTTAGGTGCAAATTTTGTCTAAGTCTGTGGCATTCTAGGACCATGACATGTGGGCATTGAAAGCTGTATGAAAACCATACTCGATATACAAGGACACAGCCTGATGACTAAGCTGGTACTGAATGTAACAATAATGGGAAATTTCCATCACATGAGAAGTACTTCATACTCCAGCTCTGTCCCTTTCATGTCTGAAGTCCTGTTTGTACCATGGTTCATGACCATGTCCTTAAAATAGGCTAAAACTGGAAAACAGCAGCTGTCTGCTTTTTATTAATTTTTTGGAGGACTTCATGCATAATCACTGTATTTGTAAAATTTCTACCCCTCCCTTTCTTTCTCTCTTCAACTCCTCACACACTCCCAAGTCCTCCTCAAATTCATAACATCTTATTATTGCTAAATATATATATGTATATATACGTATATATACAGAATATATGCATATATGCATAAATACAGAATATATACCCTGATGTTTTAGTGTTGCTTTTACATACATGTGTTCAGGTCTGACTTGGGATTAGATAATTTACTAAGACCTGTCAGGCATTAGAGAAAAGTGATACTCCCTCTTTCTGTAGCCTTTGATTGTCTGTAGTTTTTCATCTAAGGGTGGGGCCTTGTGAAAATGATTTCATCTGTGTTGGTATGCTGACTGGTATCATCATTATGCAGGTCTTGTTGAGGCAGCCATATTGTTGAGATTTCATAGATGAAGCTTCACAGTCCTAACTAGAAGACATCTGAAGAAGGCATCCTTACAATCTTTCTGCCCCTTCTTCAAGATTTCCCAGGAGCCCTGGGTGTAGGAATCATATTGTAGATGCATTGATTGTTTAGCAGCACCAGCACACCTAGCCTTGGTCTAGATTATGAAGCAAAGGACCAACAGAAGTCATCGACGTAGCTAAGCCAGACAATACCTTGTGTATTAAAAAAAAAAAAAAATCTCTGTGATTCCCAGAACCATTTGGTATATGTGAGACTCACAAGCAAAGAAAACATTATGCAGCGATACCAATCTGGAGGTGCCATGTAGCTCACAACAGAGAAGTGTGCTGTGCCTTTAGCACTGCTTTCTTTCACAGTCTTCTCGGTGTCTGTTCCAAGATGCTCTGTTACTTGTTTCTATGAGACCATGATACTGCAATGTGCTCTCTTCACTCAGCCTTCATCTCCTTTACGATTTTTGCGACTTCCTTCTACTCTATTCTAAACTTCTTGCAGTGGCCCATCGGCTTTGCCTTTGTTTGTTTGTTTGTTTGTTTGTTTATATTTGCTTAAACCCTTTGAGCAGCTACATTTTTCTGATTTCAAAAAAATGCTGAAACTCATTTTCATCTCTCACAAAGCTAGTATTTACCTCATACCCGATGATAGTGTTACCGTCTGAAAATGCAACTTCTGTTTGAAATTTATGATGAAACTTTAATTCTTTGATTCCTCAAATGTATATATACAGACCATGGAATCATTGTTAAACATAAGCAAATTGACATTCACTTGAGTTAGTTCTGGCCCAAACTGAATGGTGCAAACTGCTGGGATAATGGCACAAACAGCTTCTGTTTACTGAAATTTGTACCTACCAAATTTCAGACGCTGAGCGTAGAAACAGTGATTCTGCCAGTCCTCTTAGCAATATGAAACAAGTGCAGTATTGTGAACATGCTCATTTTAAGATGAGCAAACATTTAGAGAGGTTAAAAGTTTGCCTGGTTTTCTAATGACTCAAATCCTGAGTTCTAAACCTTTAAGGTTAATGGCTGACCTTTAAATTCTATAACCTTTCATCTGGCTCAGCATGTCCCAAACTATCATTCCACAGAATAGTATTTATATTAAACATCTATCTATGTCACATGGGAACACAGTTTAGTAATTAAAGGAGAATTGGAAATGCCAATTATAAATATTAAAGTATTTGCAAAGTGCAGGCCCATTCTGAATGATTTGTAAGTATGCATTTTGAATCTCTAAGTGGAGAAAATAACCATAGAACTTTATCAACTTATTAGCCCCCATAACTCTTTTCATATTGAAAATAGTTTAGAAAACGCTGAGCTAACTTTAATTAGATTTGAGGTCATGTAATTCAGGATATACGTACATACTCATTTACACACAAGACCACATACACCGATGCTTCTAGGTTCTCTTGATTGGCAACTCTCTTAGCTTGCTTGTGGTTTTTGTCACTTTTTTTCATTCATATAATGGCTTGCCTTCCAGATAGCTACACAATGTTTAATGTTTTGATTAGTCACTGTTTCCAAGCTACTGTCATATCATGTACCTGCAACTCACATGTCTTTACAGGACCTTCTACCCCTATTGCCTGGTGCCATTGCTGGCGAGATAGAATCCAAAGCTGCAAATCTCAACAATTTAGTAGTAGAAGCCTACAAGGTATGTATACAGTTTTCTCCAAGTCAACTTTTACTACCAAAGCAATACTGCTGCATCTTGCAGGGAGTGACAGAAAACTTGTAAGACTGGGAATTTAGAGCTGGGGTTATTCCTGGATGGACCACAATCCAGCAATAATGTTTGATGCTTGGAAGTCAATTCTGTTCTCTGTGCCTCACTTGACTCATGGACGAGTGAACCAAGATTGGGTCAGCCATCTAAGTTTTCTTCCAAATTGAAAATTCCGTGAGTCACCAGCTTGTCACAAAAATTTAGATAGTTTCCTACATCATAAATCTAACAAGAAAACCACCATGTTGTTATTTAAAGAACATTCTACAATGGTAAATGGTCTCTCTAGGATATAGAGATTACTAAGAGGGCTTTATAAGGATCTCCATGATCAGTCATTGTAATGTTCAGTCAAATATCATTTTTATCAAAACTGGCCAAAGTTTTCCTATCCCAGTTGTCCTCTTGGATCACTGGTTGTATGTTGTCATCAGTCCATTAAAGAATAGATGCATGAAGTTTTAAAGGAACACCTTATCTCTCAAACTAGATCATTCCTGCATTAAAAATCTCTATTAAAATGTGCAAATAGTGACTTTTCTTTTCATATCTGTCACTTTCTATATATATAACTTTACTTAATCCCCACAACTGACCTATCAGGCAGCAATTAGTAGTCCCATTTGTATATTCGTAGGAACAAAGAAGTAAGCAAAGTAACCATAACTCACACAGCCAATCAGCAGAGGCACCACGATGAAATTCCAGGTGGTAAGCTATGACTCAGCTGTTTCCAGCTGTGTGATATGGCCTGTTTATCTTTCTTTCTTTGATTTTTTTTAACAGGGTGTCAAAAACTATGCTTTATTCTTCCATGGATTTATGGGCCAGTTATAAAGTCTCACTTCTCCAGATTTTCTGGCTGTCTGCTTGCCTGACGCATAGAATTAGAGTGTGTAGAGAGCAGCAGAGCCGTGAAAAACCTCAGGCTGCTTTGTTAATTGTCTTCAGGCAGCACCTGCTTGCAACTTGGGTTCAAAGCAGGGAGGCAGGGAGCAGACACAGGGCAGAAAAACGAAGAAACTGTGTAAGCATATTCTTCTTTAAAGAAAATAAATGTTGCTAGGGGTTTTTTTGTTTTGTTTTGTTTTGTTTGTTTTTTGTTTTTTGTTTTTGTTTTTTTTTTTTTGCAGAGGATATTTTCAATGTCTTAAAACCACACAGAATGAAATGAACATGGATTCCTTGAAATACATTTCTCACTATCATTTAAAAATGATAGATTCTAAAGCTGAAGAGATGGCTTAGTGGTTAAGAACACTTGCTGTTTTCTGAAGGATGGAGGTTCAGTTCCCAGCACCTACGTGGTGGCTCACAACAATTTCTAACTACATTCCAGGAGATCCATCATTGCCCCTTTCTGACCTCTATCAGCACTGCACACACATACATACATGCAGGCAAAACATTTATACACATTTTTAAAACAGTGTTGTATCAAGAAAAAGCAAAGCAAAACATATCCATACTTCATTCCTATCAGTAGTTTTTGTTCTTAAGAGTCATCCAAATGAAAGGGGAGTTTATGCAATTAGTCCTTTCAATTACTATAGTTTTACCTCCATTATTTTATCCCAAAATATATAAATTGGTTTCTTTTCTGTTTCTTTGTTGGGTAAGCCCAGTTCTGCCTTGGACTCCTGATCCTACTGCATTAGCCTCCTCCTGAGTCCCAAGATTATAAGCACATACCATCACATCTAGCTTTTTTAAGCCTTTGTGTCAGACTTAGGAAATGAGACAGGAAACCAGGAGTGAGACATTGTCTCAAATAGTAAACTCAGTCAACACTGTTTGACCTTACATTCTTTGTCTTGTACAGATGTGTGATTACCTTAGCCCACTGTGGTTCTGTATAAACTTGCAGTGGGAGAATATCAGTGAACTCAATGAAAATTTTGACTAAGCTAATCTCCTTAAGATTCTATTTTTTATATATGTATGTTTTCAAAGTTCTTTTAGAATTTTGTTTTCAGCACCCAACAGAAACAATTCACAATTCATTGAAATATACATCAGGAAAAAATAGAATTTCTCCAAGCATCTGTCCTAATACCTTTTAGACAGGAATGATTTAACATTTAACACTTGGTCAGAACCTTGATTTCCAAAGTACAAGAATGGAAAATATTGCAGAATTTTGTCTTCACCCAATACTTTAAAGACATTGGCCCAAGGGGTTTGAGATATTAGAGGAACAGCAAGCATGGTAGGCTGAACATGCTACTATGGGAGGCATGTCCTGACCTGGCAATCAATATGATATTTTACACTATTGAAAGTTTTTCCTAGTTTTCCAGAATTATTGGGATTACAGTATATGAGTTCTTAGTCAGAGAAAATTGTGTATGTGTGTGTCTAAAATAGTCTTGTCTACACAAATAATGTTCATGAACTTGATTTTAAGCATCATCTTTAGAGGACATGTTATCAAAATTCCATGATCAATTTCTCATAAACGAGTATCTATCTCCTTATCAAGATACTGTTGAAGAAGTAAAATTACTTAACTAAAGAATTAGAAGCCACTGGAAGTTTTTTCATCTACATGCTGCTACAACCCATTCTACTTGCACAGTGGCATGCTTCACATTTCTGTTATTTTTGTTTATAAATAAAAATTCAGGATTGTTGCATGTGCCAGGCTCAGATTTATGTAACCAAATACAAGTATATTTAAAGGATATATTTAAAGTAGCTGTATCCTTTGGAATTGAAAGATTGTGACAGAAGAAGGTAGTGTGTGCCCAATACATGACATCATGTAGTAGATGTTTACTGAATTAGCCTATGAATGGCAGTGTAAATACATGCATGGTTTTGTACCCCATAAGAAGTCCTGCTTTAGAATTAAGGCTTAGAAAAACATTATGGATGCAGGCAAGCATGGAAACTTGATAAAACACTAAGCCCTTCTTAAAGAACTTTGTATGACAGTGTTTGCCTAGGAATTCCTGTACATAGCCACAGTTTAGAAATGCCACCTCCATAAAACTATGTTTCAAGTTTATATTTATAAACACCAGCCTTTCATGATAGTCAAAAGCATCTGAAATTCATGTTTCTATTTTGTCAAAACCATGTTCCCTGGTGTAAATTGTCAAAATTCACTTGTTATGAGGACTTTCTTTAAATTTCATCATTAAATATCAGCAGTATGATTTTTAAAAATTATCATTTCAACACTGGATAAGAGATATTTCTGTAAGTGATTAAAATGTGTAATTGTAGATGTGTGTAAAATCAAGCCATTTAAACACAGCTGATCATTCAGTACTTCTTACATGTTTTAAATATAATTGGGTTGTCACAAGGATGCATCATTTATTCATTTTTTCAGATATATGTTTTGATTAAGTTCAATCCAAAATGACATAATGTGCATGAGTCTGCTTTGTTGATTATACTAGAAACTACGGCACTATGTAATTACAAACCAATGTTTCTGCAGAAACTCGTTTCAGAAGTAAAAGTGCAGGTGGAAAACCAGGTACATGGTGTCAATTTTAACATCACTGCAATCTGTCCAGATGGTGCCAGAAAGCCAGGTGCAATTGGATGTGGAAACGTGACAAGCAATGACGAAGTAGGTGGCTGTGTGTTCTTTATTGCTGAAGATAAATTGTTTGGTGTGCCTTCTCATGAAAACTCTCACACCGCTACAAACATCATTTACTACTAACTACAAGACTCTTGTTTCAACTTTAAAGTAGCCTTGTTGTCTCTTTTCAAAGTTTCTTCTTAACTTAATTGACTATTGTCTCAAATTTTCAAATTAACATAAATATGTATTTTGTTAAGTACTTATTAAAAATTAGTAGTAATACATTTTGTGTAACAATTGGTCTAATGAGGAAATCACATCCTTTAGAGCAGTATCTATAGTTATACTTGTGACAAAGTGATTTTAATTTCAAATCTTCCCATTTTCAGAGTATGAAATAGAATGTAGCCATAGGAAGAATGGGACAGTTGATGAAAGCTAAGAATTCTAAAATCTTTCACTTTGTGATGACTTCAAGAAGGAGATAAAGAAATGTGTTAAAAGCAGTCAAATCAAAGGGATGGCACCATTTATATAATAACTAGAAAGGGTTGGGATGCCAAGAGGAGAACTCCAGGTTTCAGCATTATCAGAAGACAGGAACAGATGAGAAAGTGATTCTCCAAGAACTGCCACACTTCGGTGAAGAGTGCTCTCAGCAGGGTCCTGGGTCAGGGGAGGTGAGGGTCACCTCCCAAATATCACTTACCCCAATTGTACCTGAATGACCTGGGTGAGAAATTTTCAAATCTTTCTTTCTTCTTGCTCTAAGGTTCTGTAATTTTATTTTTTAATTCCATCCTGTGTTGGCAAGGGGGAGTTTTCAAAGTCAAAGAGAACACTTTTCCCTCTTTGGTTAGAATAAATTTTTCCTCTTGGGAACATTAAGCTGTGGGTGGTATGATTGTGCCCACAAGCCATGTATCTTTAATTAATTATTACAAGCTTCTAATTCTGTAGTTTCCTCTATAATTATTCCTTGGATATTGTTAAAAAGACATCATATACTAGTTTATATAATACATACTTGATTTCTGTTAGAGAAAAGTTTGTAGCAATTTAATACAAAGCTAACTGCTGAAAAACAAAGTCTTTCAAGACTCAACTTTATAACAATGATTTACCTTCCTTCTTACATGTTTTTTCTTTTTTGACTATATCCCCTTCAACTAAGTAATATAAACAATTTTACTCCTGGGAGCAGTTTTCTTTTACTAATCATAATACCAGTGACTACATCATTCTACATATCTGTGAATCCTTAACATTCTTAGAGGTAGAAACAATTTGTGGAAAAGCAACATCAACTGCACTGATTTTGATGTGAAAAATCCAACTCAAATGCTTTGCACATTGAAAAGCCAAAGATACATTATTTTCAATGTTGGAATTTAATTATTGTAATGATCTGTTTGTGTGTATGAACTTTCTGATTTGCCAAAGCACCTGAAGATGGAGTTAGAAAATATAGATATTAAATCAATCATGTTATGGAAAAACAGGGAATTAGAGAACAAGGAAAAAACTGTCAGGAAAATGAACTGTAGTTCTTGGAGGATAAAAAAGAACTAATTATTAATTTCTTGTCTATACATTGTTTAGGTCTGGAATGACTTCTCCAGAAGTCTAAGGGGGCACAAACACTTGAGGACAAATGGACACATGGTGATTTACAGGCCATTAGCAAATGTTGCTTCCTTTAATTCTAATTAATTAGTTAGGTAAAAATGGAATTAAAAGGGGCTCTGCACCTACATGTAAAAGAGATTCATGTGTTATTTGTAAATATCGTGTCTCTAAGATGTTCATTGTTGATTTAAATATTATTAGCAAATATAGAATTATCAGTATCAAAGGATGTAAATATAGTTCCCTTTTCCATTGAAATTTAGGTTCTTTTCAACGTAACAGTTGTGATGAAAACATGTGATGTCACAGGAGGAAAAAACTATGCAATAATCAAACCCATTGGTTTCAATGAAACCACCAAAGTCCACATACACAGAAGCTGCAACTGCCAGTGTGAGGATCGCAGAGGGCGCAAAGGACAGTGTCCCGAAGCAGCTCTGGATCCCAAGTGTCCCCAGTGTGATGACAGCAAATGTCATTTTGATGAAGACCAGTTTCCTTCTGAAACTTGCAAGTTGCAGGAGGATCAACCTGTCTGTAGTGGCCGAGGAGTGTGTATCTGTGGGAAATGTTTATGTCACAAAACCAAGCTTGGAAGAGTGTACGGCAGATACTGTGAAAAGGATGACTTTTCTTGTCCTTATCACCATGGAAATGTTTGCGCTGGTGAGTTGATACACACAGGTAGTTTGAATTAAGCTCAACTATATTGGCACATACATTGTATATTTTTAAATATGATGTGATGAAATGCTGCCACTCAAGTAAAATCAAAGTTCAAAGCTTCGTAGTCATTGGAATTAGGTCATGGCAAGATCTAGAGTACAGCAACTATATTTTAAAATCAAAACTTAAAATTAAATACGAATCTCATATATCCCTTGATCTTGGAAAGATTTACACCAGAAAAGAATTTACTGGTGATGGCTGACACGTTTTCTAGAAGAATGGGGGTATTCTTCTATAAGGGTCTGACTCATTCTAACAAGTGGTCCCCCTCCTGCTTGCTCAGAGGATTTATTTCTGTCAGGATGAGGGGAAGTGAGCTATAAAAATATAATTCCACTCACTGCAAAATTCTTAAAGCATCATTGTATATGGTATTGTAAGTTTGCAGTCATTCAAACCCGCCAGCTTATTTTTGGAAAACCATCAGCAACAGAATGAACAAAAGACAGCATTCTTCAGAAAGTACAGGATTGCTAAGTAATCCAGCCGATTCCCTCTGGCCACACACAGACCAGATTTTGCAATGAAATAGGATAAGATAAAAATATCAAGATTACTTTTTGGCTAATTCTATTCACTGCCACCTACTGGTTAAAGTTCAGAAAAAAAACTATGCAGCATTTGAAAATTAAAACATTATTTTAAAATAAACTGTTATTTGAATTTCTTGGTTGTTTCTCTGTGAAAAAGTAAGTTTGCTTATCATAAACATCCTTTTTTGTATGTGCATGATAATAAGGAAATATGTATTAAATTACTGGAAAATGAAAATCAGAACCTATAAAATTTAACTCTCTATTCTTATATAGGCAGAAATATTGTTGTAAGTTACAGAAAAACACTATTATACTGCGTCGTCTTTTTATTCTATTATTATACACAGAATGCTCTGTACTCTATACATTTATTCAGCTGTAGCTAGAATAGTGGTAGGAAGGAAGATTATTTCAGAATAAACTAGCATTTGTCTATTGTATTTTATAGGGAAAAGAAATAATTTATAGGGAAAAAGAGAATGAAGTTTCCAGCATCAGTCAATAGAACTGTCTATCAAAGTGGTTTCGTATACACTGGGAATCTGAAGTTCTGCAATGTATTGACCCTGTCGATATTGTGACCACATACCTCACACACACAGCAGCAACTGAGAATCTGCTTTGAATTGCTTGTGTGAGTGCAAGCTACAAAGCTGACATGCATTTTCCCTACCACTTTCCCTTGGGAATGAACACTCATGTTCACAGATCATACAATTCAGCATTCTAGCTACAACAGGGAATGGGATAGAGCAGACATTTGTTTGCCTGGACCTCGTTTTTTTTTTTGTTTTGTTTTTTTTTTTTTTACACTTTAGCAAATTGAACTGATCCAGCAGGCTCTACGGAACAATTTACCTGTGAGGTGTCCGGCAATAAGAGAAGGGAAAGAGAGAGACCAGAAAAGAAGGGAGGAGGGAAGAAAAAGAGAGGGAGTACAAGGAGGTAAAGAAGGTGAAAGGGGGGAAGGAAAAGGTGTTTGATTACAGTCAAATAAGCTTGAGAAATACTATATAAAACATAAAATGTACCTCTCCTTTTGAGACTTCTATTGCACATTGGCATATTAAATTTTGGACACTTTCTATAGTCTAAATTCCATTTAATAATGTGTAGTCAAGATTTTCTCAAGTTAGTTGTCTGCATAAACGCCCCCCCCACACACACACACTTTTCAGCTTCTCAAAAGACCCACCTTTAAGCATGCCTGAATACACAGAAGCACTAGCATGCTTGCCCTGTCATCCTGCAAAGCTTTCCTGGGAGCCTAGCAACAGTGACAAGGGTAGACTGTGAAATCCATTGACCAAATACTGACTTGATGATTTCAAGTCAGTGTTTATGGCTTCATTATATTTATGTGCTTTTAATTAAAAACTTGAAAGCATAATGCATTCAAGAAGTTGGGCAGCCACTAAAGTAGGGGCTTTCTTCACACATGTTAGCATAATATATTGTTACGGGGAAATTATCTACAATAGAACAGCTTTCAAAACAGATACTCCAAAATCTTGGCACTGCTTTGTCAAAACAAGTAGAAAACTGATGCTGTTTTCATTCATCAGACTGTTACATGTTTCCATGAAAAAAAAAATGGAAGAGACCTTATAAAGTTAGTGGGCCTGGTGCCCCCTGATTCTGGTGTGTCTTTGTTGCAGGCCATGGGGAGTGTGACGGTGGCAGATGTCAGTGCTTTAATGGCTGGGAAGGAGATCGGTGCCAGTGTTCATCAGCCTTAGCACAGCACTGTGTCAATTCCAAGGGCCAAGTTTGCAGCGGAAGGGGAACCTGTGTGTGTGGCCGGTGTGAATGCACTGATCCCAGGAGCATTGGCCGTCTCTGTGAGCACTGCCCAGCCTGCCATCTATCCTGCAATGAAAACTGGTATGATTCTGTCTACAACATGAACAAAGCAATCTTTGCTGAAATGTGGTTTTGTTCTTTATTCTACCTTCTTTAATCTCAGTTTCTGGATCCTTAGTTACGATTATACAAAAACAATGATAATGATACTTTAAAAAAAAAAAAAGCTAAGTGGGAAATTTTAAGAATTGGGATACTGAAATTCCCATTTTTAGCTAGTAAGTTGCTTTGGGAAAAACAGAACAAATCTACAAAAAGTCACTACTTTGCTTGTTTATTCAAAAATAATTTTCTGAAAATAATGCTGCCAGCTAACCTACTGATTGCTATTTGTTGTTAAAACTCTCTGTGCCTCTGGTTAAAAATAAGACTAATAACAATACCTTTATGAAAGAATTAAAGTTGCTAGGAAGCACTTGGGATGCATAAATGGAAAGCCCTGTGTTATATGACAGTGGCATTATTATTTTGTGCTAAAAATATTTTCCAATAGCAATCTGAGACCTGCTCAAGGAAAACCTGTGTAAATGTCACTGTGCCTCCAGTTTGCTTGTTCGAGTTTTTAAAACATGTACTTTCTCAGATCAGTAATGCAAATAAGAATTTTAGAAATTATATAGTATTTTATTTAAATCATTTAGAAATACAACATTTTAATTTTTCTTTGCTACTGGGGATTGAATCCAGGCCTCACACATGTTGGGCCAGAACTCTTACCAAGTAACATATCTTGCCTTTTATTTTTTTTTTAACTTTTGAGACAGTGTTCACCCTGGCTGGCCTTGAATTTATATAGCAGTTCAGGCATCCCTAGAATATATAATCTTCCTGCTTCAGCCTTACATGTAGCTGGGATTACTGGCTTGGGCCACCAGGCCTTGCTAATGAGACTGGTTCCTATGGACCTAATCAAAATTTGTTCATAAGTTCCTGTTTTGTTATTTTATTTTTCACAGGAACTGTATGCAGTGCCTTCACTCTCACAATCTGTCTCAGGCTGTACTCCATCAGTGTAAAACCTCCTGTGCTATCATGGAGCAGCATCATGTGGATCAAGCATCAGGTAAGTGTGTGCAGGCTCCCAGGACTGAAGGGTCTACCAAGTACCACTTACTTCCTGAAGGAAGGAGCAGTGGCTTCATATTGATTCCATTATAAACATTTTCAAAATGACTTTTATCACTATGTCACAAATATAAAAAATATGTACTTATTTGTATATACAATATTGAATTGAGTTGGTGATCCATTTTTTAATCTCTCAAAGATGGAATACCTAAAGTGATCAGAATTCCCTTCTTATCCTCATAGCTCTATTTCTGTGCTGCCTACCTCCACTAAGGAGCATGCAAATTAGTTATCTAGACAGACTTCCATGAGCCAAAATATAGGTTCCCCAGGTAGAATAATTTTTCTAAGGGGTCAGGAACCATGGTTTTTCTTCATAACCTAAATTTGCTGCTGACCCTCTTCATATCTATCAAAACTTTATTTTCCTGTTTCAATTGAAACCCTAAGATTTTAAGTGATCATCTGCTGTTGTATTATACCTAACTTCCAAAGGTTACGAGGCTGGGCCTGTAGCTCTGTGGGTAGAGCACTTGCATGGCATGGGTAAAGTCCTGTGTTCAACCCAGTACCACATATAACTAGGCATCCTAGTACATAATAGAACTGGGAAGGTGGTGCCCAGAGGATCATAAGTTGTTTTTTTTAAGGTCAGCCTCAGACACATAGGGGATTCAAGGCCAGCCTGAGCCATGAGAGACCCTGCCTATTAAATTAACAAACACAAAAACAAAAACAAACAAAAAAAAAAACAGAAAGAAAAAGAAAAAGATATAACTTCCAAGTGAATGATTCTAAATTTGACAAAATGGAAAGAATGTGTTAGTTTTAGGCTTAAGACCTTGGCCTAAAGCTTCATATGTTAAGAAACATCAGTCCATCTCTGAAACTTCCCTGAGACAATACCTTAACTATAAAATAGAGGATAAGAACTATATTGAAAGGTTATATGACAGCAAATGAGACAATGAGCGTAAAAGCAGTACCTCAAGTCAAAGGTAGTGTATAAATGGAAAAGATGTGAGGGCTTCATTCAAAAACTACTTTTAAACAAGTTTATCGGGGTACCCCCCACCAAGAAAACCCAAACTTTGCACCCACTGGTCTAAGGTGTAGAACCACCCATAAAATAGAAGCTATCTTGCAGTCAGATCTTTAGAAACATACCTATTGCTTCTACTATTTCAAGAAATAGAAAAATCAGCCTTCAGAGTAGAAATGTCCTGCACATCCTAGTTTCCCATATTTCATTCCTGTCCATGCTGATCTTAGCCCACAGTGAATTTGGCTCAGAAAAGAGTCCTGTGTGCTGCCAGCTGAGGCTGCAGCAATCTCTGCAGAAAGCCAAGTGCCTTCTAATAAAGAAGGGACCTACATGTCATTAATTATGTTAAGTAAACACTACTCTGACTTAAGTGTTGTTGCAAATAGTATTCCCTTAAAGCTCCTTAGAAAAAGGCCCTGCCTGACCTCAGCTAAGAAAAGCATGACCAGTGGCAAATGTTGAACCATCCATAACAATGTGGAGAAAATGCATGCACATTTGAACCCTCAAAGGGTCCTCTGGCTAACACATTAGTATTATTTCTGAAATGTATCAGTAGCTACAGGGCTTCCCCTCCCCTTGACAACTATTGTGCAAGGAGAGGAAAGGGGCATTTGTTTTACACCTCAATTATCTGTCCACTCAATCACACTTACAGGGTCTTCTTTCAGTCTCTCTGGCTAAGCTCCACCAGGCAAAAATCCAGGAGTGGGATCAAGCCACTTGCCCCTCTAAGGATCAGTTTAGCAGACAGAGTAGACTAGGTCAGCCAAGGGATATTAGTCTGTCAGTACATAAACCATGAAGGTCATTAACCTGAAGGGAGCTGTAGAAGATCAAATAGCACCACCTTTGCACACACATTTTGTATTATGTCCCCATGAAATCTTTAATAAGGAAGAATTGCACTGTACTGGCATCTGTTGTTTCCATTCCAGTAAGTAGGAATGGGTGTGCCTTTGACCTCCTCAAGGTCTTTTTACACTAATCACAAGGAATGGTCTCTATTAAGTCAACCTAGTTGGAAAAGACTTCTTGTCTCTATTACTGAAACCTTGCTTTGTTCAAGAGGCATACTGGGTTATCATTGGACTTGCAGGCTAGACGTGGCCATACCTGAATGCTACTCTGCTCACTTCCTTGGCAATCCTCTCCCTAGAGACTTTTTCAGAGTCAACTGCTTCATTCAGACAAGGTCCCTGAAGCCTGCTGAATGAGGTGGGGAAAAACATGTGTCAGTCCAGGAAGTGATTTTATGAATCTAGGGCAGCTTGCGAGCTCTGTGGAATACCCACTATTGTGCAACCATGTTCCTCAGAGATTAAAGTGGACTTTGGGCAAGCATAGAGCCTGCAAATTTTCCAGTGAAACTTTGCCAGAGATCTAATGCTAAAACAAAGTTCTAGCATGCTTGCTCTCTTAACACGGCTTTTCTTTCTTCAGCTAGTGATTATTTGTTCTTGGAGGAACACATAATGAATCTGCGCAGGCAAACAAACTAGATTAGTAAAATTAAGTAGTAAAAAGTGAGACAAGATATTTGGGCATTGTCCAAGATCCAACACTCCTACTTCTCAGAGTCATGATGTGTAATAATAATGAAATCTTAAACCAGAGTTTAGAGGAAATATTTATTTTCCTATTAGAGTGCTATTGAGTTTAGCTTCTGCAGATGTTTACTTTATTTTCCATTACTGCTGAACAACAAAGTAGGAGAAAGCATAAAAAGAGAAACACATGCTAAATGCTTGGGGCTACTCAATATTTTTTTAATCATGTTTTCCACATAGTGCTGAACATTACACACCACTACAGCTGTTACGGTTGTAAACAAACTTAAATGCAGGTAAGAGATTTGGACATAGCAAGCTAAAAATATTGTGTGTGTGTGTCTGTGTGTGTGTGTGTGTGTGTGTGTGTGTGTGTGTCCTTAATTGTGGAACTCTCCAAAGATGAGTTTACTGCTTTGAGTAAGCAGTAATGTCAGCCTCCTGTTTTGAAAATATAGATTTGTAAATAATTCTGTTTCTGTTATAGGAATGTAAACATCATTTATTTGACAGGAAACTTTGATTTACTTTTCTAAACTCTTTTAACCCATAAACTTGTTTTCTTTCTTGCAGAATGTTTATCTGGCCCAAGCTATCTGCGAATATTTTTCATCATATTCATAGTCACATTCTTGATTGGGTTGCTTAAAGTCCTTATCATTAGACAGGTGATACTACAATGGAATAGTAATAAGATAAAATCTTCATCAGATTACAGAATGTCTGCTTCCAAAAAGGTTGGTGAATTCAGAGGATAGTTGTCAGTATGTTACTGTTCTGGTCCCATACTCAGCTTCTTCACTAATGCTAATATTTCTTCTCCTCCAAGGATAAACTGATTCTGCAAAGCGTTTGCACAAGAGCTGTGACCTACCGACGGGAAAAGCCCGAGGAAATAAAAATGGATATCAGCAAACTAAATGCTCACGAAGCATTCAGGTGCAACTTCTAAAGAAAGATTAAAAATAACAATAACAATAACAAAACAACACCGTTGGAAACTGGATTTTTTTTTACACAATTGCTCCAAAAACAAGTATAATATGAAAGGTCACAGGAGGAGACAAGTTATTTAAGATTGTGCCATGAAGACTGGCCAGTGTCTTCACAACCGTGTGACTCACCCAGCTGCTGAACTTTTCAGAGAACTATGTGTCTTACTACTGTTGGATACTAGTGTCATAGCACTTTACTGTAATATATAACTTATTTAGATCAGCGTAGAATGTAGATCATCTGGAAAGCACTGATTACACTTTACAGGTACCTGTCATCCTGCACTTCCCACAGTTCTGTGAAACAGGTTGGCACGGTGTTGCTATCACAGTGCAGTTCATTCTTGCCCACAACCTGCTGACGGAGAACATCCAGAAGTCACTGAAAGCAGTCAACCACATCAATTGGCATTGTCTAGATGTGCACAGCCAGCTGAATAATGGTTAGTATTTCACTTCATTTTGAGGTGAATAGGTAAAACCTTAACTCTAAGACGTGTTGCTTTTGAAACTGTGTGGTTTGGTGCATGTGTTTTTCTGTTTTCTTCTCTGCAAAATGGATATTGACTCCAACATCTTCTCTTTTTTTGCATTTATATTCTGTTTTTTTCTTCCTTCTGGAATAAGTTAATAATGTCATAGATGACTGGATTAAATAAGTGCTAAGTTACTACTGCCGTAGAAATCTATATGACAATGTCACTTTATTAGAATACTGGTTTTTAAAGCTGAATGTTAATAGGGTCACTGTAAAGTGTCATCTAAGTCCATAGCTTCTCTGTTGGAAGATAGAGAATTTTGTATTTTCTTACCTGTCAAACTGGATGTATTGTTTTGCTCTCTCATTGATCTGACCTGTAGCCTAAAATCTACAAGGTGTCTACAAAACTGCTTCAGGTGGAGTGGTGGCCCTCTTTTCTGAGTATGCTCTCTTGATTTTTACTCCAAGTTAATGTCGACATTTTCCAAATGGAAAGCCATACTATATTTGTCCTTTTGTGCCATCTAAGGGCATTCTTTGACTCATCCCAACCCTACTCATGAGAATTCACAAAGGCACAAAGTTGAAGAAGAGTGAATAATACCTTGGAAATGAGCTAACACCTCCTTTTTGCTAGCCAGGGAACTGAGGCTCAGAAATTCAAATGATTTCACAAAAACACAAAAGCAATGAATTGTCAGTATTAGAGAAGGTCTGCCTTGTAATTACAGGCCAGCATTGCACAATAGCACACTACCTCTTGAATCTGCAAAATGTCCATGGCAAAACTTAAAATAGGATTTTTGACGTCCTGAGTATATTTTCATGAGAATACTTCAAAGCAAAGTAGAAAAGGGTACTCTAAACGAATTTGTGTAAAAGCAACTTGTTTTTCTCATTAGCCACCTTCTGATAAGGCTTTGGTGTAACCCTTCCTTCCACACAGTGGCCTACAAAAACAAGTCTCCTGGAACTGTGCATGGCTCAGCTTAAAGCCTTGATGCAGAGGCTTGGTACTTGAATTCTAACCTTTTTTTGTTTTTTTTTTTTTTAACCTGTGACAACAGAGGAATCTAAAGAAGTAACTCTCCCAGGGTTGCTGCTTCCCAGCACTTGAAAGTTCTAGATATTTGCATTCTGATGAAGAGTAACTTCCATTAGATATTGCACCCTTATAGCCTGGAAAGCCTATGTGTTATTCTCTAGCCAGTGAGCACAACAAGTGATGCTGCTGACTTGAACTATTTCTTCTTCAATTGGGGATGGGCATTGCCAAAATACTGCATACTGTGACTGTGTGTCAGAAATTATAGTCACTAAAGCTGGTGTGAAAATCATATTTTGCTGCTCATAATATACAATTTCCTTTTATAAACATATTAATTGATTTATGCTTGGCAGTCGCCCCCCCCCCCCCCCCCACACACACACAAACAAACACAAAAGATGGAAGATATCCACTAATTAAATGTTGACAACTTCAAAGTGAGCAGTGTTTATGAGCAACAGATTATTTCCAGATGGAATGAGCGAAATAGCATACATAAAGGGAATCCTTGAAAAGCAAGGATTTGTACCTTTTTAGGACCTCACTAGTTTGCACTAATTTTAAGGTGAAACAAGGTTGTTGCCACAGGGAAGACAACTTCCTTGCAAGGAATTCAGTGCCAGGTGATAATCCCTATTTAACACATGGAATGTCTGGTGGTTTCTTTTTCTCTCTCTCTCTCTCTCTCTCTTTTGTTAACTTAAAGAGCTAATTCTTAAAGATTGTAGGGCTCATATCTTACTTGAATAATTGATGTTCTTCTGTTTAATAGTTTGTGAGAAGAGAATTAATATTTGACTAGATAGAGTTAATTAACAGGTAAGGGGAAACAGGGTATTCTTAGATTACATAATTTATGTATTTAGAGACTATTTTCAAATGCTATGACCACAAGAGTCTTTTGAGAGTTGTTGATAGTAAATGCAATTAATTGAATTTTAAACTGTTAGCAAAATTAATAACTTGAATGATATTTTTTGGCATGGCAGCATTTTGTGCTCTGGTGTGTAATTATTCAGAAATGTTCCATATATCCACGACATATGCAAGATGTTTCTTCTAAGACATTTTACACTGCAGTATACTTGTATTTATAGACATTTGATACCATTTTAGATATTTTCTACTATTTATTAAGCTATAGAATTCTCTAAAAGACTTCAAAAATTCACTAAAAATCTAATTATGTCCCAAATGTTCAATTTAACTTAGTTTATAAAAATAACAAAATATATATCTCTAGAGGCAAAATTTTCAAAACTCAAAAAATTAAAATTGTGTATACATCAGATGCAAAACTTCACCAAAGAATAAATTTCAAGTATCTTAATATTTACTTAATATCTTAATATTAATCTCCATTGAATATATTATTGTATATATCAACAGATATCCATGAGACACTGAAATCATTTATTATTGCTAGATTATGAATATCTTTCTCCATAGAATTCTATTTCTTCTGGTACTTGGTAGAATAGATTGTACTCAATGGCTTTTCCTTTTTTTCCTGGTTCCTGTTTGTGTTATTCACACGTCTCTAGAAATTGGCATGAGCTTCAAGCCAATAAACCTAATTGTGAAAAATAACAGTTTAATAATATAATTAAGTTCTTCATTTTCAAAGACCTATTAATTTTAACATTCATTTGGACAAAGACAGACCATTAAACACAAAAGAATTTTAAATTTTCACAACTAGTGGTTTATGTTTTTTTAAAGGTAGCAACTCACTAGGAAGTTTAACCGTATGAATATTGTATTCTCTTTGTTTACTCTTGATACTTAGTTTACAGCTATCCTTGCCCTTACAGCCTTTAAAACATTTCATTTCATGTGATGCAAACATCTTCAAAGAAATATAGACCTAATGTTCCTTCAAATCTTTTCATGTTCCAAAATCCCTGCAAGGCAAATTAGTTATGATAACTGATTAAACATACCTACTGTGTGTCTTGCTGATTCTAGGACACACACTTTTTTAATTTAGCATCTCCAAAATTGTGATGTCTCTTGAAACTGTCATCTGCAATGCAGTGTTAGAATAAACACTACACTACTTCAACTTAATTAAATATTCAGGGGTATAAACAGGGGTATTCCTTTCATTGTATGTGTTTATGAATTCATTTATGATAACATGTAAAGCCAGTTTACAATACAACTGAACCACCTACCACTCAACGCAGACCTAACTGGCTGTCGGCTTGGATCCTTGCATCTTCAAGTTACAAAAGCTCTCATTTATGCATTATCATAACAGCAGTGATTTGGGCAAACCTAAGTTAACTAATGAAATATAGAGGTTTCTCAAGCTTTCATTTAAGGATCTTTAGACTTTCCATTCCTTTGAAGGGATTGTTTGAAATGATCATTTCACTTTTAAATAAATTAACTGGAAAAAGATTACAGGAAAACATCATAGTTAGTTTTCACAGCAATTTGTATACTTGATGTCAGCTGCAAGAGAATAAATGATGCAACCAATTGGTCTTATGGAAAATATTGCCTCTCAGGTCCCCCAACTTTCTTATTTTTCTTTATTCTTTCTGTTCTTTTGATGTTTTCTTTGGCTTTAGTAACTTTCCTCTCCAACCCATGTGATGACTGTTATAAAACTGCATAGCTAAAATATAGTACTCATGTGAAATGACTGTCAACTTTCTGGGCAGCTTTTGATCAAATATGTTCTCACATATTTGATATATGTGAGAATAATAACACTATTCTGTGTCTACCTGAAGTACATTCCTGCATAAAATGTATCCTTGCAAGCTAACTCTTTCAACCAGGTGTCTATTCTTGACAACCAATTTCAGTACAATTGTCTTAACACATCAGCATAAAAGAAAAAAACACTGCAATCATCAAGGATGGAAATCATATGATTTGTGTAAAGAACTTTTACTGACTTTACACAGACAAATGTGATTTTGATAGCAAGTCTGAACAATGACAGTTATGGTACATAGATTTTTATTGAAATATTGAGTAAGATTATTTTCATTCTAAAATTATAAGAAAGTATAAATTTGCACAAATTAATATAGAAATTCATTTTGTGTATATTTAACATATCTTTAAAGCTATTTTACATGTGCTAGCTACTTTATTAAGGTTTGTAAATCTCTGCAAAAATGTTTAGACATGTTTTTAAATTATCAATAACATAATCTCAGTTTGTTTCACTTAACAAATACTGCCTTTGTAAAAAAATTTAATATAGAATGTATTTTTAAATCAAAATATTTGAATATAAAATAAGTCAAAGGAAAACATATTCTTCATGAACACGTTTTGTGCTGTTTCTGGCTTTGAATTATATGAAAGGTGAAATTGCCTTAAATGATACAAAAGATTGATAAATATGACAATTTCACGTACTATACTATGAATTTCTCCACATAACTGGTTGACTACTAACTTCT